TGTCATTATTGTAAAACCAATACACACAATACAGATGTATGTAGAAAGAAGAAAGACTCTGTGAAATCAGTTGCAGAATCAGCTGCAAAAGAAAGCCCTGAACAACACTCTTTCATTTTCAAAATTGGTTGCAGCCAAGATGAAATATTTTGTGAGGCTCATGACATAAAAACAGTGCTTGTTGATTGTGGTGCTACGACACATGTTGTGAAAGACAAGTCGTATTTTATAAATATGGACTCAAACTTTGACTCAGAAAAACATTTCATTGAACTAGCTGATGGGAGCAGAATAAGAAATACTGCACAGGGAAGAGGAGATGCACGTATCTGTCTTATAGACTCTGATGGTAATGAGCAAGAAGCAATTCTAAAAGATGCTCTTTTTGTACCAACATTCAAGCAAAACATCCTATCTGTACAAGCTGCTACAGAAAAGGGGGCAGAAATAAATTTCAAGAAAAATTCAGCAGAATTAATCAGTCCAAATGGCACAAAATTCAATATAAAGAAGAGTGGTAGACTTTATTACCTATGCAGTACAGTCTTGACAAAGAGTACATCACACACCTTGAAAGAATGGCATGAAATAATGGGACATTGTAATTCAAGAGATATTATCAAATTGGAAGGTGTTGTAGATGGTATGAAGATTACAAGTAAAGATAGTTTCCAATGTGACATCTGTATAGAGGGTAAAATGACACAGTACAGAAACAGAAGTCCAGATAAACGTGCCAATGCACCACTTGAGTTGGTACATGTTGATCTGGCTGGACCGATAGAACCGGCAGACAGAAATGGCTTCAGATATGTGATGTCCATTGTAGATGATTACTCAAGTCTGATCATGGTGTACTTTCTGAAAGGAAAGAATGATGCCATTCATGCAATGGAGAAATTCTTAGCAGATGTTGCAGTCTATGGAACAGTTAAGAGGATGAGATGTGACAATGGAGGAGAATTCACAAGTGAGAAGTTTAAACAGCTATTGATAGAGAATAAAATAAAACAGGAAATGAGTGCACCTTATTCTCCTCACCAGAATGGAACAGTGGAAAGGTCCTGGAGATCCATTTTTGATATGGCAAGGTGTCTGTTATTGGAATCTACACTGCCAAAGTCACTATGGGTATATGCTGTGATGAAAGCAGTATATGTGAGGAATAGGTGCTATAATCCAAGAACAGAGAAGACAGCAGTGGAGGCATTCACAGGCCATAAACCTAACATTGGTAATATGAATACATTTGGCTCTGTGTGCTTTGCATATACACAGAACAAGACAAAGTTAGATGCCAGAAGTGAGAAAGGCATATTTATTGGGTATGACAAAAACAGTCCTGCTTACTTGATTTACTTTCCAAATAGTGGCAATATTAGGAAAGTGCGATGTGTGAAATTCAGTACAAGTTCGTATGAACAGGCCATTGACACAGAAGACATAGTTATAAGAAGAGAGAGACAACCTGACCAAGATGAAAAGGTTGAATTGCAGGAAACAGTTGAACAGTCTGCTCAGTTAGACCCTACAGGTGAAGACAGCCAGAGAAAGGGACACGAAAGGAGATACCCAACAAGAGAACGCAAACAGCCAAAATATTTCAAGGATTATGTAACTGAATCAGATGATATTGGTTATACAGTTGACTTTTGTTATGCTATGTGTATGGATGAAATGCCAACAACCTACGACGAGGCATTAGTTTCTAGTGAAGCAAGTCACTGGAAGACTGCTATGCAGGAAGAAATGTGTGCACTGAAAGATAATCAAACATTTGATCTTGTTAAATTGCCTGAGGAGAAAACATTAGTTGGAGGAAGATGGGTTTATGCTAAGAAAATTGGCCCCAACAATGACTTAAAATATAAAGCCAGGTATGTTGCAAAAGGTTATTCTCAAACTCAAGATGTAGACTACAATGAAACTTTTTCACCAACAGCTAGAATAACTTCAATAAGGATGCTAATGCAACTTGCCAGCCAAAACAATCTCATTGTACATCAGATGGATGTTAAAACTGCATATTTGAATGCACCAATTGACTGTGAGGTATATGTAGAACAACCAGAGGGATATACAGTGAATGGTGAAAAGGGTGAACGATTAGTTTGGAAATTAAACAAATCCTTATATGGGTTGAAGCAAAGTGGGAGAAATTGGAACACATTTCTTCACTCTCAGTTAATCAATGATAAGTTCACACAGTCCCTTGCAGATCCTTGTGTATACACTAAGAACACTGGGGGCACGATGATAATAATCATTGTATGGGTAGATGATATTATCATTGCCAGCAGCAACATGTCTTCACTCAATGAAGTAAAAAGTTTTCTTTGCCAAAAATTCAAGATGAAAGACCTAGGAGAAATTGGATGGTTTTTAGGCATACAGTTCAGCAGAGAAGGTAACCAAATTACAATGAATCAAACTGAATATATTAAGAGAGTGCTTGAAAGATTTCACATGACAGATTGCAAGACAAGAAGTACTCCTTGTGAAAGTTCATACAAGGCAAATGAAAATACATCTGATCCAACTGATTCCAAGTTGTATAGAAAGATAGTTGGAAGCTTGATATATATCATGACTTCAACTAGACCTGATTTGTGCTATGTTGTCACCAAATTAGCACAACACATGGCAAACCCTACTTCAGCTGATGAGACCATGGCAAAACATGTATTACGTTACCTGAAAGGAACAATGAATCAGAAATTGATATTCCACAAATCTAAAGACGAAATGCATTTATTCGGATATTGTGATGCAGATTGGGCTAATTCTGAAGACAGAAGAAGCATTACTGGCTATGCATACCAGTTAGTAAGCAGCGGACCCATGATATCCTGGAAAAGTAGAAAACAAAGAACAGTTGCTCTATCTACCTGCGAGGCTGAGTATATGGCCTTAGCAGAAGCAACACAGGAAGCAATATTCTTAATGCAGTTATTGAAAGACATGACAAACTCTACTTTATATAACAAGTTTGTACTGCATTGTGATAACCAAAGTGCAATAGCTCTAGCTAAAAATGCTATGGTACATCAAAGATCAAAACATATAGACATAAAATATCATTTTGTTAGATCAATAGTTTCAGAAGGTATTATGGATCTGATTTATGTTCCAACAGCGAAGAACATTGCAGATGTCTTTACAAAGCCAATTGCCAGTTTCAAGCTCAAGAAATTTATTGCAGTAATGATGGGAATATAAACTTGAACTATTTGATAACACTGCGTTTTGTTGTTCTTCATTAACTAGAATTTATAATTATATAATTACTACATAAAGTTTAAGTGGGGGTGTTAAGTATTAAACTTTAGTTTTTAATCATAGTTACAAATTTTGTTGTTGTTGTTAGGAGGACTGGGCCATGTAACTTTGTAACCCTGTGATCTTGCCTCGTGTTCTTTTATTTCGTTCGCTTGATATAATATAAAAATGGCGTTAAGTATCGCGTATTTATTCCTCTACTAACTCGTTTATCCACCACGATGGCTAGCTCAACAAAACGGTCTTGCACCACCTGACTTTATGGAATACTTTCAGCATGTAAAACACAGCAAAGCAACTCGTGGAAATGAACACAGTCTATTGCTCCCAAGAGTAAAATCTGAAGCAGGACGAAAAACGTTTGCATTCCAGGGTGTAAAATTTTTTAAACAGTCCCCAGCAAACTACAAAGTGAAACATCTATACTGAAGTTCAAGAGTTGCTGCAAGGATATCGACTTTGATTTTTAACTTTTTCTCTAGATTTAATTATTGTAAAAACTTTGTAAACTATATTGTTGTAACATTTATATCGTAGGTACATTAGTTTCACAGGTCCTTGATTGATAGCAGCAAACTCATTTTTGTTGAACAAGTTTACATGTATAAATATGGTCTTATTATAATTATTTTTAATGTTGTTTGTCACTTTAAAATCCATTCCTGGTTGTTTACAGTCATGGCAATGTCAAAGTTGGCACTTTGACAAAACTACCTTCTGTACAACAATGATCAATCTTCAAGTTCAGGAAAAGGATCACAAATATTTTTTTTCTTGAATTTGTGCGCCAACCTTAATTTATGGCACCTGCAAAATTACTTGAACTCTTGACATCATCATTACAACAAAGATTTTTGGCAACAAATACTTTGTGGCAACTAAAAGCTTCCAAGATTTCATGTTCATTTCATTGATTTAATAAATACTTTCCCTTTCTAGTGTACTTTTTCCGGTTGATATTTTCTAATCTGCCAATTTCTATTTATTGTGATTAGCCACCATTATGAAACTGTCATTGAGATTAACCAATCAAACAAAGGACTTGACAGTTTCAGTGAATCAGAACAAACGATAGTTCATTTTCATATAGAAAGGGATATCTGTTGTTTTCGGCCTCTGAAAGTTACTGCAAATAACATGCCACTGGTAGATCAACATTCAAAGTAAAATAAATCATAAGATCCCTGATGTAAAGAGCTTTTCGTTTTAAATATAGTCATCCTATATTGAAAAAGAATAGGCCTACTTCAAAGAATCAGTTTTCGGTGCCTCTCAACATACTGGACTAAATGTAATCATGCATCATTACTATGGTAAAAACATATAAAGATCACATTCTTCAAGGAGATCGAAGAAATGATTCACCTGGCCTCTGTGCACCATTTTGTGTACATGTCACCATGGAGTTGATAACCAATGCAGTTTTTCAAGAGAGAGACTGGTAGCATATCAACAAATATGGAAAGAGAAGGCCTCACCCGTACATTGCTGCTTCTTATGAAATGATTGGATGTATCAGAAATTACCACTGATGCTTCAACCTCAATAATGAAGAGAATTCAAGAGCTTAAAAGTACAGGCATTTTCCCATGTTATTTAATAATATTATGCAACATTTTTTACCCATTCAGTTTTGTGGCAGGTTCAACTGGGTTGAGTAGCTGATATTCACTTATATTTGGATTTCCAACCTCTAGCTTTCTTCTTATTTGTTTTTATGGGTTCAATAAACCATTCTGAAACATGTTACTTGAAAAAAACTTATAGTTATTGCCAATGAACCATGAAAGAAAGCCTTTCTCGTGTTTTCCGGCCGATACAATATTCATCTAGATCTAACAGATTCCTCCTGCTGTATCAGCGGCTTTTCTCCATAGTTCATTATTGCAATTGTTAATACTTTTAATCTTTTTATATTAACAATTGAATGCTAACTTGCCATGTTTATTTTGGACTTAAGAATTCATAATTTAAGAATTAATTATATTCTTAAGAATTATTTTCATTTCAGATTCACACCCTGAACTGGCTAGATCACTGCCTTGATATTTGGCATACTGCCAAAAATATTTCTAAAAAATTGCACAAAACAGCACAAGACAAAGCTGCAAAATCACCGAAACCATTGATTGCTGTAATAGTCAACCACTTTTTGTTTGCTTGTCAAGTTTCCAATGGTGACGCTGAAAAGTTGAAAGATATTTGGATTGGTGTTTTGCATCATGTATGCAATGAACACATATGGAAGGAATCTGAATGTTTGCATGGCCCTCTCTCGTCAGCTGAGCCAAAGGTGTACCTCTTAAAGAATTCTGTCGCTTTGGAATAGCTGAGATCAGTGGTACTTGACAGAAAGCTTTTGTCAAACTTGTCGTACTTTTCAAAGTTCAGGCATACAGGTATGATGTAGATGTCAACAGTATGCTGATGAAGTATGCCTCTAAAAGAAATGCATATGACTATCCATATTTCAAGACACCGATGGCTTTGGCTGCTTTTGACCACAGTATACATTTAAATCCACCTTTGGCTCTCACATGCGATGGCAAGCAGTGTTTTAAAAGAAAATACAATAAAAATTCTAGGAAATTTACTGCTGAACCTGTTAAGGAACAGAAAGCTATAAATATATACCATACTGCCTTGCAAAAATTGTTGTTGAAACTAAAGAAAAGAAAGACACAGCAGTGGAAAGGCTTGTCAGAGTTCCAAACGACCCTAAACTGATATCCCTAACTTAAATCTTAATCAACAAGCCACTATTTACAAGCCAATTAGTTGCAGAGAAGTTAACAAGGATTGAAAAAAATGACATTATTAAACTTAATACAGTATCACTTAATGTGTATGGAGTTGAATTTCTTAGGGAGGAGTTTCCTCAATGGGTTGAAAAAGGGAGGAGAAAACAATACCTTGACTCTTTGTTTTCCTTAAATTGTTTCTTGTTCCATATTTATATCTCCATCTTGTATCATTCCTTCAGCTGCCCGCTCAATTTGGTCAATAGATCCTGGCTAAAATTAAAATATTCAACAGATTTGGACATAATTTATAGTGTTGTATTTCCAGTTGGAAGATTCCGGAGTGAAAAGTTTGACATGTGACAGAAAATAGTCTCTTTGCAAATCCTAAATAGGCACTGCAGCGGTCTAAGGTTTAGGACCTCGGTCAAGAATGTAGGAAGGCTGAGACACCTGAGACAAGTTGTGTTACATACACAAGTAAGCCTCTGTTAAAAAACACGACATTTTAATCACCAATGGCAAAAAAAGCACAAAAAAGTATAAAGCAGAGGGTGATATTGTTTCCTAAAGAAATATTCGTCACAGTTCATGGTCTTCAGACATGATCTCTCTGGGCCTAACAACATCAAGAAGGGGCCAGTAGGAAATACGGCAAAATCTACAAATAAGTAGGAAACTGGGCATAATTTACTAAGAAAGTCTGCCTACCTCAAGCTCGCTTTCTCCTTCTCTGTCATTAATCGAAATATCAATTTCTTTGTGAACAAAGGTTCTGTCAGCAAAGGTTCTTTAACTGCTGGAATGTTGTCGGGAGTCCCTGCTTTTCTCTTTTACTTATAGGTTGTGGTTGGCCTGTTTTCTCTTCTTCTTCTTTATGGCCAATGCTTCCTTGTGAATACAAACAGTACTAGTTGGTTGTAAATGACAATTAATTGAAATTTCTTGATATGATAAAGAGCCCTTGGCTTGCAAATAAAACGTAGCGGCTCTGGTTTTTAAGTCAACTTTGCAACGAGCACCACTTTACTTTTGCTACTCTTGCTAAAGTTGCAATTAGCACTGAGAAAAATATACATCATACATCAGCCTCTAACACAATTGCTTATAAAGGCATGTCACTCATTTATTGTTGGCATTTCATTCATTCATCGACTGGTGGCAACCACTAGGGGCAATCACTTCAATTTACTAGTACTTTCAATTTTTAAATGGTAGATGGTGCATGAAGTTGTCCTTCATTGAGGATTTTATCTTCTCCTGGGGTCTTTAATCTCAGTATCTTATCAAAAATGGCAATTTTGCGCTACCTGAGACGTTTTTGCTCAACCAAATCTGAAAGGAGTTATTTGAACCCATGTTATAATTACACTTGTAATGTGGATAGTGGCTTTAACAACCACACGGAAACTCGTTGCTCTACCAACACCCAGATGTGCAGTTGCAATTTCATCATTGTAAATAGTATGTGAAGCTTCCAACAGAAAAATGAGTGCTAAAACACATTTCTCGCTGGAAGTGCAAACATAGCACAAAAAAGCAATGTGATTATGTGATGTAGAGTTGTACTGACAATGCAACAAGGGAGAAACTTGATACAATTTGAAGCTTGTTTAGGCAGTGGAAAAATTCAGAAACGTCTTCCTGCTTTCGAATTTGTGTCTCCCTGCCTCCTCCGTCTATCACATCTCTTGAATAAAATTGAAAATGTACCATTGACAAAGCTGCTTAAAAACGTCTGGCGTCTGGCAAGCGTCTGGCGAACGTCTGGTATCGGATCATGCTCTGGGAGTCTTAGTACATTTAGGCCATATTGCTTCACTTTTGCTCTTATCATCAGAATGTTTTTGATCACACAGGTTATTAGGTTGATTGTTAGACTGATTGTTAGATGAATAGCTAGATACAACAATTGACTTGATGGCAACTTTGTACAAGTCTTTGGCATTTTTTGTTCAAGGCACTACGTCCGGTCAATCAATCAATCATTCAGAGATAACAATAGGCTTTGCAGTGTGTTTAAAGTTTAAAAAAAACATTGTAGATTAGTAATTTGGCTCTGTAACAATAGGTCTAATGTAAAGTATTACAAACTACTTTCAAATCTAACCAATGGAAATGAAAATGGTCAGAGAAAGACTTTAGGACATAGTACCTTTAAATTCTTGGTTGCACGGGATACCAGCAGATAGTTTGCCTTTTACAGTCATATCAACACTTGTTGTTCCTCTGTGGGCACATATTTCTACATTGTCTTTCTCAAACTCTGTCCACTCATTCCATTGAGGTAGACTTTTGAGTCTAGGAAATGGGAGAATCGCCTCATTTCCCCCAATTTTAATTAACATCATAATCTTTACTCTTTTTTCTTCCTTCCTTGTTGTTGTTTGTATCTGATTTTTTTCATTTATCTTACGTTTTTTTTGTTTATTTTTCTCATCAACTTTGGACAATTGTTCACTTTGGACAAGGGTCTTTTTGTGGTCTTTCACTCGTTTGTCATCTATATTCTTTGATTCCTTTGTTGCCAGCTTTATTCCGTTATAAAGGGTTCATGTGTTTAGAAGACCCTTGTTCAGAATTCGGTTATCCAGCTTCTATTAAGTTCTCTAATCTTAGTATCTCATTCAAGTTCTTCCTTACATTTTTGCTCACTAGATCTGAAAAGAGTTATTTGAATCCATTTTATACTTGCACTTGTAAAAAAACATTAACTTTGAATCTTGTAATATGCAATCTTGTTGTTAATAGCACCCAAATGAGTGGCAAAGCACAATTTACTCTGGAAGTGGTAAGCCAATAGTGTACATGTGCCAAGTGCTCAACCAAATGATTCACTTGATTTTTTTGTTTTGAGTTCAAAAGCACAGTGACTTGCTTGGAAACAAGTCATTTGCAGTCATTCAGGGAGAGCATATGTAAGGGTGATTAAACCCTTACAGGATATGAAGAGGTGGAAAACCGAATTGCCTTTTTTTTCTGATCTTGACAAGGATAATCTTGATTGCAGAGCAAACAAATCTTTACTCGACTCAATATCCATAAGCATTCTGCTAGGAATTTGAATTGTGCAAATGCCCAGGTACACGATCCACTGAGAGAGCTGCAAAAGATATGATGATGTTGCCAAAGAAATGATCCAATAGAGGTTTGAAGAAGTTAAAAGGTTCCCCCATTTCGTTGACAATTCAACACAACCTTGGCAAGGGAGCCAAGATATTCAAAGTCGGATCCCTGTTTGAAAAAAGGAAGAAAGGCCATCAAACAAAGCTTGAGTAAGACAACTCTGTTGATGAATAGATTATTTCCTGAAAAATTTTTTTTCCAAAAAGCCCAAAAGATGGGAATCGAGCTGTTTTCCTGAAACAGGTAGACTGGGTTATGCTGTGATTTTGACATGGAAGAAGCTCTAAATACTCGTGCCTCCTCTATAGAAAGCTTTGGATATGATGCTGGTGATTTGGCTCTAAAGCTAGCTTTTTCTGCCTGAGGGTCAAAATTACAAGATTTATTTTTATAATTACTTCAACTGTCTTAAGTTGTCACTAAGACAGAAGATTCAAAGTTTTGGAAAGATTGAACTCTTTATCAGGGGAAACTGAGAGGATGCCAAACTGAAGTCTGAAAAGAGTTGAAAAGAATGTCATGTCTCTTTTGATGGCTCTTAGATCTAAATTCAGGTTTAACTGCTCTTTGTTGGCTCAACAACAAAATTTTCCCGTATGTATCAAATTATGCCTATACAGAACCAGTTGATGCAGTAAGGAGATGGTCATGAAGTGAAAAAAACCCATTGAAATATCATCAACTGCTGAGACCTACAACAGAAGTATTGGATTTGAAGGTAAATTTGATATGTTTTAAGCAGCTTACAGGTTGGAGCACAGAAGCAGAAAAGGCTTCATGACAATTTGCACTTGGATACTGGAAAAAATTCTTATAAACGAATTGTTTTTATAAAGACACCTTGCAATGCACAAGGGAGTTCCAAAAGCAAAGGAAACTGACTTTCTAGACTTGAGTCTACTTGCTAGACTTGCTAGACTAGACTAGCAATGAAGGCGTAGAAAGTGTAAAGACCAAGAAAAGCTCCATATATGCAAGGACCTTGAGCAACCCTTTTTGGTGGTTGGTGGTTTTGGTGGAAAGGAGCACTGGCCAGTTCACATACAGGATAGACAAAAGTGTTTCCTATGTGGAAAGAAAACAAGAAGCGGATGCTAAAAATGTTAAAAAAGGTTGTGCTTACCTGACAAGAGTACTGCTTTTTGCATTTTCACAAGAACTAATGTATGTTTCTAGCTCAAATGTTGGTAAAAAAAGTGTTCTTAGTGATTTTTTCATTGTCAGTGTCAAAAAATTAGGCAGATATCCAAAGAACAAATTCGAATTCAGATATTTTCTTTCGAAACAAAGCAATCTCACTTTTCATTTTAAACTCTAACTTTCTCAAAATACAAAATCGATCTGAGTCCACGCTTCTTCCTCTCTTGTTCACTTTCTATTAAAAAAATTCAGTAAAGTTCTATAAGATATCTAAATAAGACGGAGGTAAACTTCCTCACATCAAGAGTTTTCATAATATGACTTGTACATCAATGCCACTTCTGGATGTTTTTATCGGTATGTTCCCAATTAGGTATGTTGGTGTGGATTTATTTCAATAAACAAAATCGAATTGATTTCAAATACTTAAATATGTTTTGGAAAGTTTTGTTGCTGCTGACAAACAAAAGACGCATAGATATAATTTAAAAATGAAGATGATTTTAGACAATTATGTGATGAATTTTGCGATAAATCACATGATCATTTGAGTCATCAAAATTATGTTTATACAAATTGGGCTGCCTCAAAAATAACTATAACATAAATATAAGTTGGCTTCGCCCTCCTCCCCCCAAGCAATATAATAGGTCTAGTTGTACCTATTACTTTGAATAGTCTTTAGAATGAAGAGCAAGACAGAAATAACATGCAACCCATAGCCAGAATATAAACTGACTGATCATTTATAATTGAACAAAGGCTATATAATGTGAAAGCGAGGTTAGAACGATGTGACGTAGTGTACAGTCCTACTACAGCAACACTTTATTTTCTTTCTTTGTCGAAGTAGATGTTCTTTTCCAGTGAGTAAAATAAACTGTTATATAAAAAATAAAATAAACTTTTAAAATAAACTGTGAGTATAAAAAATAAACTTTTAACTATTGTAGATCGAAGATGTGATATTTCCACAGGACAAAAGCCCATCCTGTGTGGTACTGTTGGTTTGTACCAATGATGTGGCAAGCCACTGCATCATGAAAAGAGCTGAAGCCAGCTTCAGTGGTCTCTTGGACACCGTGAATAAGAAATTTCCAGCTGCACAAGTACTTAATTCTAATTGACGCTCATACGGTTCTATTTTGCTATTGAATTCATAACATCTTATTTCACAACAATCTATAAAATGCCATAGTTACCGCACCTTGATGAAATTGATGCTACACAGTCATTTTACAAGAATTATACCTGTTTTGCCAGAATTTTACCAGAATGCTCCTGATAAACCTGTATTATCTTCAGTTAATGCAACAAGTATATCCATTCCCTCTTACTTGTTCTTGAAAACTTATTGTGGTATTGCTCAAGAAATTGCAATATCTATATTATCGAAGCTTGACTACTTCCAATTACAATAAAATGATGTAGACAGCGTTTGCCAGAAATAATCTACGGTCTCTAAATGCAACAACCAAAATTTCCTGAGAATGACAAAAGATTGTGGTCTCGTTGAGATGGTGTACTATTAGCAAAGAAGGAGGGTTGGAAATGAGTATTCTCTTGAATCAACCCCAAAGAGAGAAGAGACCCAGCAGTGCCCAACATTTATTTGGCGTGAAAAATCACCACCCTCTAGGTATATTTTAGTGATTTTCTAATAATGGGGGTATTCCACGTCTAATCAACACAGATATGATACCCATGTACTTAGATTGATTCATAACTTTAGGCAGGTAGTCCCTTTTAAAGTACTTTTAAAATACACAGATAATTTCAGCTCAGTACCTTGTATTGTTTCCGAGTTATGAGATGTTACATATTGATGACCACACCCTTATGCAAAGAAAGCCACTGCCCATTTTTTACAAGAAATGGCTGTAGAATAATGGTCTCCTATCAAGTACTATATTTTAGATACTGATAAAATTACGCAATCTGATGGAACTTGCTATGGAGATTCCAACTATCAAATGCAAAATTCTGTAAACCTCACAGTTATCATTCTACAGGTGATTCAAATTGAAATAGTTGGTCAAAACTTTTTTGCAAACATTGCATTATTTAAGTGCAAATAGCCAAAATGGGTCCAAACAGATCATGATGAAATTTGTCATGAATCAAGTTGATATAATGCTTAAGGAGACTATGAAGTTTGGTGATGGTGTTTTGTATGCTACTAAAGATACACATTGTTTAAAAAATAGGTTCATTGTGTTTTTTGTGCACAGACGCTGACATGTTTCAAATTGACATAATTAGCATTGTAACTTGTTCTTGACCTGAAAATTCAGAATCAGAGTGTAAGACAAATATCATAAATATGGACAACTCATTTATATCCAGAATTTCTGGAGTCATGAATTGTGTGCTATCAGAATAAGGATTTTGTAACAGAGCCACTTGTAAGCCTATACGATGAATAATAAAATAAGATTTAAATGCTAAGCAATAATTGAAATGTTTTTAGATACAAATAGGTTTTTAGATGTTCTTGAGAAGTTTCAACATCTTTTCATCGTCATTGCTCAACTTGTATTGCCTTCCAGTGGACGTAGACAGGAACTGCAGATCTTGAATGACTTGTTCATCTGGTTACCAGCAAGTTTCTTCTCTCTCTGGCCAAAAATATGACCTTGCGGGACATTTAGGATGGAGAAATCTAACCTTCACTTCACCCTTTATTCGTTTCTTCAATTAAGCCAACCCAGTACTGGAGATCATATTTACAAATAACAAAATAGTTAATTGAAGTTGAAACCTTTCTGAAGCCAGAATTTAAATGTTCTCATCAAGTAATCTTTTGAACATCTTGTTCCTGGACAATTAACACACCAATGTATCATGCACTCTCTGTTTTTCTGTTGCACACAATCATTTCAATAATATCATGATAATATTGTTCCAAATCTACTGCCTTCAGTAGCAGCTTTACATTCTGATCAATTGAACAAACACAATAAAAGTCTTCAACAAGCTGGATAATTTCATTTGGTAAACATTTTCCCCTCTTCCCCTCTTCCATAAGATACCCTTCTCTTTTCTTATTTTAAATGCACTTCTAACTAGATAATTTGATACATTGGAAAATTCAGCAGTCTTTCGTATTGACCAAGATTTTGGTGTCAGGGTTGAAATTTTTATCATTTCTTTTTGAGATGAGGCCATTATCTTCTCTTTCATTAGAAAAAGCAAGCCATCAAAATTTTTTGTTTTCTGTTCACTTTTGGTTAATGTCTTCTCCTCCCCTGAACTTAGATCCAATTCTCTAGTCTTGACATCTATAGCTTTTGCCATTGTAATTTGCAGATCCAGCTGTTTTTGCCTGAATCTAGATCAAACCTGAGCTATCTTTCTCTTTCTGTGGGCAACTCTTGAATGAGATGCGACAGCATGTAGTTTTAGAGGGCTGATGTCTTTTTAATAGGTCAAATTGTGGCTGTGGATGAATAACAAACTATTAATAAATTAGTAATTGTCTGATTTCACGAATCTTTATCTTTATAATCTTCATTCTTGGTTTACACTGCCTTAGGCAATCGACACAATAAAAACAAATCTTTGCGCGTCTTTTCTCCAGCAAAATGAAAACTAACTAACTACAATACAGGGCGTATACACATAAAACGAGAGGATGCTACAAGAGTTGATTACGTTACTGTGGTTACAGAGACAATGGAAGGTGTTAATGACATTGATACAATGGAAGACATGGTTATGTTTGACAATTGTCGCTACATAGCTCCCCCCTAGAATGGAAACAATGAGAAGCATTCGTTAAAAGAAGTAGAGATAAAATCAATAAAAGAATTATTATAATGTTCTATATATGAAGTTCAAATTGTTAAACAGCAAGCAAGTCAATATTCAAGTCTTTTTCCAGAGCGAGTTGTTGGGCTTGGTGATGATGTGAAGGAGTAGTAATTGGAGCAGATGGAGCGGAAGAAGGTGCTGTTGCTATTTTAACTGCAATTGGAGGAAGTATGTCTGTGTCAAGGTAGGCTGGTTTTAAGCGATCTACGCTGACAGTTTGTTCTTTTGAATACTTGAAAATAGTGAAATGATTGGTATGGGGACGAAGAATATTAAATGGCCCGGTGTATGGAGGATCAAGTGGCTTGCGAACAGCATTGGTGCGGACGAAAACATGGGTGTAGGTATGGAGATCTTTTGGAACATGGGATGTGAGCGATGTGAAACGATGAAAGCGTTTGATCATTCTGTTGGCACATGGGTATGCAGTGGTGCGAATGCATTCTATTCCAAGGAAAGATGTAAGTTTGGCAAAGAGGGAAGATTCCAACTGGGCACCGTGGTCGGTTGTTATCGTAGACAGAACACCAAAGGAAGAAATCCAATTTGAAAGGAGAGCAGGGGCAATTGATTCAGCTGTGATAACAATGAGTGGAATGGCTTGTGGCCAGCGAGTGAAACAATTGATTATGGTGAGCAGGTATTTGTATCCTTGTGACGGTGGAAGTGGGCCAACGATGTCGATGTCTAGGTGGTCAAAGCTTGCATCAGGTGTGAGAAAAGTTCCAAGCGGAGTAGTGGTGTGGCAATGAATTTTTTGTTGTTGGCACTTTTGACAGGAAGGGGTCCTCTCAGGAATGTCTTCGTTGATGCCGGGCTAGACAAAACGTTATGTAATCAGGTGTTGAGTAGCACCAATACCTTGATGAGACAGAGAATGGTGGCTGTCGAAGACAATTTGGCGGAAAGATGTTGGAACATACAGTCTTGGTGAAGCAGTGAAAGTGTCACAGAGGATGGTACCAGGAAAAAGGCAATGGAACATCTTTCAGATAAAGAGATGATGTACTGTGCAAAGATGGAAGTTCTGGGTCTTCTTGTTGTTCTTTAGCAAGGCGAGCAAAATCAATCATTAGTTAATTTTCCAAAATTCATTTAAACTGAAGACTGTGACGTCACTATGACATGACAGCCACGCCCAATCTGAAAATTAATCACCCCAAAAGATGCCCCTTGCAAAAAGCTTCAAAATGAACCTTTGGCCCCTAACATACTCTATATCGTCTAAGAGTTATGACAATAATGCCTAGAAATTGCAACACAAAATGGAGGGTCGGACTTCCTAAAGCTACTCTATATTATTTGTTAGTTATGACAATAAAGCTATGAAACTAAATCACAAGATGGACGGCAATGCCTTTTTAAACAGCTACCTCTGTATTGGAAACCGCGACCAATCTTCTATTTCATTATATGCATAACTTAAAATTGGAAATTTTTGCAAATTTATTTACTTTATAAATAACTGCAAATTCTAATCAGGACCCAAACTTGTCTAGTTAATTCAGTTAGAGAATTATATTGTGTGTAAGAAGTTAGAATCAGAAAGAGCAAAAAAGGATTGTTTTAAAATTCTCTATAATTATTTAAACACAACAATTCAAAATTTCAACATACAAAAAGTCTAAACAGAAATATAACATATAAATAGAAACATTAAATTCAAACTGATACGGACATCTATGAAGAGTGAATGAAATTAATATTCAAATAATCAAGAACTTTTTGTCAGATAAGTTATATTTTGAGCATAAACAGGCAGGTAATGTTTTTGTTTTTTCCATTCTATCAACATCTCAAACAGCCAAAAATAAACCCTAAATTTATACTGATATGCAAGTATGAAGATTGAATAAAACTAACATGCAGAATATGAAGGAATGTTGGTCATATAATTTTAAAGAAAACGACAATTTAAAGTTTTTTCCATTCTATCAATATAAATGTCTAAATAGAAAATTTGTGTTTTTTTCTTTCATTTTGAAATTTCATAATTTAAAATATGAAAAGAAACAAACAAACAGCGGAACATTTAAAACAACAAAACTATTACATATTTAACAACGGAACATATTTAAAAAGAACAAAACTATTTATTATTATTAACAGTCATATTCGGAAAAGTTCCCGAATAAAAATTATTACAAAAGGAGGGAAATTCCTTTCTATAAAAAGGAAATTCCCTCCGCTGCTGCTCTTTTCTTTTCTTCTTAATGATTCTGATAATAATAGTCATCCCTGGTCTGAAAGAGAATTAGAGAAATAAAAATTGAATATATTGGCCTGTACATTATATTAAAATATTAAAAGATTTATTAACAATCAGAAATGAAATATACCATCTTCAAATAATTCCAATAATTTAAAGAATGATATATTCGCAGCATATAAATTGAAAAATGAACAAATTTTTACTGTGCAACAGTAGGATTTACAATTGTGAGAAGATAAATACCTAAGTTCCTTGAGCTTCTTTTTCTCTTTATTCAATAATATAATCCCCTTGATATCTTTTATATCGAAATTTTTCGCCACAGTTCTTCTCATGTTTACAATTTTTTTCGAATGGTATTTCCTAAGAGAATAAGAATGTGACTATTAAGTTTTACAATACAACAGTAAAAATTTTTTTATCTAATAAATACTGTAAAATTTGAAACGAAATTCCCAATGCAAAGATTGACCATCAACTACATGAAATTTATTGTAAGCAAAGTCTGTATATAAGTCATTAATTTTTAATGTAAGTTACAAATATTTGAAAGGAAAATACTTGTATATATTTAGTATTATGAAGTAAGCAAATAATAACCTTTTTTCATTTTTAAAACATACTGTGACGGTTTCTGGCCGTTCTTCTTGACTTGCAACTTCCATGGTTTTTTCGTAATATCTTCTTTCTGAAATTTCGCTACAATGTATTACAAGGAGTCAAATTTTTCAACTATTTATACAACTTTGCACACAAAGAGCTCTAATTTTCTAAAACATTTGGTGAAATTGCAAATTCGCCTGGAAAATTTTTTTATTAAGTAACACAAAAATGGTGGCCAAAGCCATTTAAAAGTATGAGAAAATGCAAAATTCCGTCAAAAAAAGACAATATAAATCTTTTAGATTTAGTTACAACATACCTTCCAAAGTAGGAATATAATGAATGCTCTATAATATCTCAGAGAACAAATTTATTCGAAAAAATAAACATACCTTGAATTACGTGCAAAAAAAATTTTCAGGACTCAAATGTTGTTACATAAAAATGGCGTGAGCAAAGAGTTAAAACGCGCGAAAAATAATTCCAATTTCGAACGCGATGTATCTTAATGGAATCAACAAAATACTTCCAATGCAACAGAATAACAATAGTAAATCAACCAATCCATAAATGTCCAGAAAGTCCTCATTAAAGTCCAATTATTATGAAAATATAATTCAATCCATTCAAGGGCCAAGTCGCACACGAAACAGTATAGCATTGATTCCATGTGGGATAAAGCATCAGCTACTGGATTGTTGGATCCCTGGATATGACGAATGTTGTTGGTGAACAGTGAGACATAATCAAGATGACGTGTTTCTCGCTGTGAGTAGCGATCTGGTGAAGATGACAAGGCATGGGTTAACGGTTTGTGGTCAGTTAAGACATAGAATTGACGTCCCTCAAGGTAGTGGCGTATGGAGAGATAAATTGCCAGTAGTTCGCGGCCAAAGGTTCTGTATTTGACTACAGCTGGTTGAAGGCGTTTTGAAAAGAATGAGATTGTCTGCCAGGAGGCCCACCCACCCATTATGTAAACAAAATAGGTTAACAGGCAAGGTAGCTTTAATGTCTTTAACTGTCTGAGAGTAAGGCTTTTCTTTCAGCAAACATATCAATAACATCTTGCAAATCTATTTTCGAGCAATGTCTCGCTCAAGTGATAGCAAAGCCAAGATGTTAAGCTGAACTTGTCCCATTGTGGTCCTCGTGCAATTTTTTATGAGGTTGAGTTTGCTGAAGGATCTTTCTGCACTCGCAACAGTAACTGGAAGGCAGCAAAAAGTTCTCAAAGTGATGAAGAGATTTGGAAAGAGACTCATTAATCCCAGGCTTATTTAGGAGATCTAAGGGGCTCAAACAAACGTCTCCAAACTTTAATTGATTGAGATGTCGTAGCTGAATCTTTTTTTCTAGAAGATCCGGAGAAACATCAGTAGCATAGTTGGCTGCAAACTCTTTTACAGTGCTGTTAAACCTAGTTTCTTCTATTTCCACGTATCGCCACAAGAAGCTGAAAGTTGAGGCAATATTTTTTGTTTCTTGAAATCTCAGTGAGATCCCAGCCAAGACAAGTCAAGCACAACATAGAAGATGTTTATTTTGAATTCGTCTTCGTTGGACATTCCCTTCGACTTTTTTATTCTCAAGGCCTTTTCTTTAATATCAAGTTCCCTTTCTTTTTGTTCTAACCTCGTTTCCATCAAATGCTTCTCATTCTTATTTTTGTCTTTTCGATAATCAATCTTATCTGAGCGTCTTTTCTTCTGTTTCTAACAGCCCTCTGGTCTATAGAAAATTTGTGGTGACTTGTGGAATTCAAGTTTTCCGCAATAGAATACCAGCACTGGCCCCTCTCTACTACCCATTTTATATTTATATCGTTCTAGAACCAGAATCTCCTGGCATAAAGCAACATCATTTGCAGTTGTCCTGTGAGCGAACCATGAAAACGAGGCTACGATATTGATAGGTGTGGCAAATTGGAATTTATTATTATTATCTAAACGCTAGCGCACAGACGTATCTACACACTATTGAAAACATTCATTTGAAAAAACTCTTGCGAAACGTCGTTATATTGACATTCTCACGAAGATTAAATCTTATTCGAATCATTCTTGCTGTACTGTTTTTCTGATGATTTTGTGGTATTTCTAAAGACAACCAGGTGATTTCTTTCCATATTTCTCTCGTTCGTCAAACTATCAAACTATTTATCTTACATTTATTCTGAATATATACAGTCCTCTAGAACTTGACTCTTGCGAACCACTCTGTGGTACTTTTTACCCTACAGCGTTTACGCTCTTTATGTTTATGTTTACGCTTGAATCTGATTCTAAGTGGGGTTTCTTAAAGTCCAACTCATCTTGGGCCTAAGTGAAATTTAACTTAATTATAAATAAAAAGAAAAAAAAAGAAAAAAAACAAGAAACATAGACATTTTTCTGCAAGTAACATGTATAATATAATACAAAATTACAAAAAGATACCTTGTTCAAATCAAATGTTGTAATGAAACAGTAAAGGCACAGAGGAAATGCTGACATCGAATTACCATCACAATTATTTATATGCAAGAAGAACTAAATAGGTTTCAAAAGTCTACCTATTGGTTTGAAAAATTGAATAAACAGTAACTAGGGCTTCTAGAATGCACTGAAATTGAAACATTTGGTGTATTTCTTGGTAAATGTTGATAAATATGATAAATCATCATCATTATCATTAGCCTTTCACACCACTGCTGGCGGATGGCCTCCACATCTTTCTCCACTCATCACGGTTTTGAGCACTCTGGATCCACGTGCTGCATGCCTTCTGCTCGATCTCATCTCTCCATCTTTTCTTTGGTCTTCCCTTTCCTCTCTTCCTGTCCCACAGAGTCCATTCTGTCGTTTTCTTAGCCCATTCGTGGTTCTTCATTCGTGCTACATGTCCTGCCCACTTGCCTTTGGCTTCAATCACTTTTTCGATGACATCCTTCACCCCCGTTCTTGATCTTATCTTATCTTATCTTATCTTCGATCTTATTAAATATGATAAATATCATGACTAAAATAGGCTACCATGTGAATAGGTTGAATGTGTGAATAGTCAATTGTTAAAAGATGTTTTGGGAAGTAAATATCAAAACATTTCATTGATCAGAAAATTACAAACTTCTATTAGATGTTCTTCCTTCTCACACATTCTATTAGATGGTCTGATAGAAAGGCATCTGCGAAGTGTTGATAAATAATTAATCTGATACACGGTTATGTTTAAATCAAGAAATAAATGTGTTCAATTGATTCGCGAATCCAAAAGGAACTAACTTTTGAATTTAACTCACAAAATTATTTTAACATTTGATTTCTTCCCACTGAATGTGCTCATCTTTGCTTTAAAATTATTGGAAGAAACAACCAGTTCTGAATAATAAAAAAGTCCATGCATTGAGAAAGCATCTACTCAAGCAACCCCGGTTTCCATTTTCAAATTAGAGCAATGGATATAATCTGACGAACTTTTTAACTTTTGATGAATCGACTACTGTAAACTTTTAAATGTCTAATTTTTAATATTTTCATAATTTATATCCACACCGACAAAAAATCCTGATCCCCCGCAAACGATTTCCTTGTCATCCAAATGTTCCTTTATTTTTTTACAGCGAAGACTAAAAGATTAATGATTGCATAAAATAATCCTGCGATTTTTTACACTAGTGTTCCTGGTATATCATATGGGACTTGATTCATCTTTCCAAAAACCTTGCAGCCACATTTACCTCTTGTAAGTTACCTGAAATCAGATAACAGCAAAATCTATGAGGGAAAAGAAGTAACTCATTGTAAGCAACATCAGTCATAATGTGCCTTTTGCATTTGCTGTCATATAGCATTACACTTATTAATTTATGTATACTTAGGCCCCGTTTACACTATGCCGGTACGAAATGAAAACGGTATGAAAACGTGCTGTTTTGGCCTTCCGTTTACACTGAAACGGGATCGTATCTGGTATAAAACGAAAACGATTTTGAAAACGGAACGAAATGAAAACGGTACAAAACGTTTTAGTGTAAACACCTGAAAACGGTACGATTTCATACCAGATTCTCATAGAGGCTAGCTTTTTATCCAAAGTGAGGCCATTTCAAAAGTGCTAACATAACAAAGTCCAAGCGGCCCCAAAGCGGACTAAACATTCTCGATTTATTAAATTCTACAAAGTTTTCCTGAGTTCACCAATCATCAGTAGAAATGCCAGTTAATCGAAAAACCGTCGCTCTTTTAATTGGGGCTTTGCAGTTCAATCTTGGCTTAATCTGTCGTCAGTTGACATTATATGCACAGAATATGCAGAAGATTTGTGAACTGATACTATCAAGCAGTCACGCTGGCAAACCTATGACTAGCAAGACATGCAAACGGAAAAGAAAACCACGAAGGTTCTGGGTAAGGCGGGGCAGAACGCAAGTTTGGTGGAATAACTTCAAGGAAAATGTGATGGTGAAAGAAGAATGGAGGGAAAACTTCAGAATGTCCAGAGAGACATTCACTGAACTTTGCGATGAATTAAGGCCATATATTCAAAAGCAGAGGACACACTTAAGAGAATCTAATGATGTGGAAACCCAAGTTGCTATGACTCTTTATTACATGTCAGATAAAGGGCGGTACAGGAAGGTAGCAAATTCGTTTGGAGTAGCTAGATCTACTGTTTCAATGGTGATACGCAGAGTAACCAAGGCTATATCACAGCATCTTGGATCAAAATATATCAAATTGCCAGTTACTCAAGCAGAAGTTGAACACCATACCAAAAAATTTCTCAAAAACCACGGATTTCCACAATGCATTGGAGCAGTGGACGGAACTCACATTGAAATCAATCAGCCGAATGACAACTATACAGATTTTTTAAACCGCAAGGGTAGATACTCATTCAATGTTCAGGCTGTCTGCAATTATCAATATCTCTTCATAGATGTTGTCATTCAGTGGCCTGGCTCAGTCCATGATGCAAGAGTTTTTGGAAATTCCAGCATAAGTCATTGTCTTCGCTCAGGGAAAATACCAACCCAAGAAAAGGAAATTGTTCCAGATTCCAAGAAAGTACCAGTTTGCCTAATAGGTGATGCAGCTTACCCGATACTGCCTTTCTTAATGAAAGAATTCCCATCTGGTGCGAAAACAGTCCATGAGCAATTTTTTAGCTATCGATTGTCATCAGCACGGATGACAATTGAATGTGCATTTGGCAGATTGAAAGGACGGTTCAGTGCATTAAGGAGGCCATTAGATATCAAGTTGGAATCAGTCCCCTATTTTATTCATGCTTGCTTCATATTACATAATATATGTGAACTGAAGAATGAGCCCATTCCTGAAAGTTTGGTTCAAAGGTCAAAGGAGGTTGATAAAAATGCTCAGCCTCCTTTAACAACACATAGAAACAACAATAGTGCTGTGGAAACTGATGGGAAAAAAATAAGAGACATTTTTGTTAAGTATTTTGACTAATGATATCATGCTAACAAACAATTATAAGTTTGAGCTTTAACATGAAACATGAAACTTCAACACTGTCTAATATTTTTGCTTATAAGTTGACATAAGTGATTTCATCATCAGATTCTTCAAAATCTGCAATATGTGTTCTTCTTACTTCCTGATAAGGTCTTTGGTTGGCACTTTTAATCTGATCCAGAACGCCTTGGCTACCACCTTGTGCAGGGGTGTATTGCACTTGTTGCAGCTGGTTGAAGGCTGGCTGAGGTATATAGTGTGGCTGACTTAGTGCTGCAGTTAGGGCATTTGTGAGATTGACAAGAGAATTTGTTCAAATATTCATTTGTGCTGCATTAGATTGATTTATTTCCTTCATCTCCGCAAGCATTTGCTTTTTAAAAGACATGTCATCTTTAGCCAACTGCAGCATTTGCTTCTCATGCGATAAGGGCTTTCTCAATTTAGAATTTCGAGTCTCTTTCAAATGTTCAATCATACTCCTCTTAGGCAAGGGTTCTTGTCCAAATCAAATCCGTTACTACTTTGGGAACATTCAATATCACCATCATTCCCTGTAGTATTGTTGCCAGATGGTTGATCGTTGATGGGGGACGATGAATCGAACAACTTGTGTCTATACCCCCAACAACTGATTCGGCTGCTGGGCTTTCACAACAAAGTCCTTCACTTTTGGCGTCTTTTGGATATCGTTCGAGAAAGATTTCTCCAAATTCGGTGTACTTCGTCTTGATACACTCCCAATCAAATCCTTGACCAGCCTTGTCGGCCTTATAATGAAGTATTACTTCAAGCAGAAGTTGTATCTCCTCATCGCTCCAACTAAACAAACTATTCTTCTCTTCTGGAGATACGCCTTTTCTTTCTGGAGGCATGTCGATGATGAATATATTACCAGCTTACTGATGACGGATGAACGCAGGAAAACTTTGTAGAATTTAATAAATCGAGAATGTTAAGTCCGCTTTGGCGCCACTTGGAATTTGTTATGTTAGCACTTTTGAAATGGCCTCACTTTGGATAAAAAGCTAGCCTCTATGAGAATCTGGTATGAAATCGTACCGTTTTCAGGTGTTTACACTAAAACGTTTCGTACCGTTTTCATTTCGTTCCGGCATAGTGTAAACGGGGCCTTAGTAACCTCTAGTGACTACAATCAGGCAGCATTTCTACTACTACTCTGACTACCAGGGCCACATAAATTTGAGTGCGGCAACAGGACTCAGAATTAGAGAAGCGTAGCAGTGTCTGTCTGACAGAAAAAAGAAAGACGTTCCGCTTGGTTTTCTATTTACGCACTCAAAATTTTGTGGCTCTGATACCTAGGAAATTTCTATGCAGTTTTTTAAGATCTGAAATTACTTGTTTGGTAACCAAAAAGTGACCAATTGTTTGAGGCGCTAGTAATTAGGAGGGGCACAGAAAGAGAGGGAAAGATATCCTACGTAAGGGGCACTCCCCCGAAGCTCTTAACCTCTTTGTTGGAGATATGTGCCTCTGGTGCTCTTCCCTCCCTTGTAACAAGGCTTTGGAATATATTATTGAAACTTACCGTCTTGAACTTTTGACTTTTGGCAATACGTTCTTGGACTGCATTTAACTTTTTCTCGAAAGATAGGGACTGCCAGTTTTTCGTATTCTTCCAGTTTGTGGAGATACCACCCAAGACCTCCACCATTTTGCAACTCCTCTTCGGAAATATCATTCCAACCCGCCAGATTGTTTTTCTCTTCCACAAGAAACTCTCGCCACCACTAACGTTCTGCTGCTGTGAACCGTTAGTCGCAATATCTTACACCGTTTTCTATTGCCTCCATTGGATTTTGAGAGGCATATGTTGCTCTCAGTAAAGTTGGTTCTCTGTTTGGATATCCGGACAAAACATGGAAAGGCTTGTCGTCTGAGTCGCCGACCCAATCTCCTTCTGATGACCAGTGACGATACCACATATAAACTTCGCTACCATCGTCGGAAAGCTGAAACTTAAATGCATGTGGCCTGCTGTGCTGTTCGAGATGACTAATGAATGGGATCAACCAAGTTTTGATGTCAAACATATAACTTAGTCGTTCAGTGTTGTGTGGGTGATCATAGGATATGTCAATTTGTTGCATTAATGCTGGAATTGTGGCTGCGCTATGCTTCCTCCATTAAAATGCAATTCGGCTGAACAACTGAAAAAAAATTATTTATATTAATAATTTCACCTTAATGGAGTATTATTTCAATTCAATCTGACAAAAAGCCATGAATCCTAGGTAACAAACTAATGGAACAGGGGCGAATTTCCCAAAAGCTTTGGGGCTTAAGCTTTTGGTGCCTGTCAACTAAAAACAGATGTCCTGAATGAATCAATGAATGTACTATGTATATGATAATATTTCTAAGTGAAATTTGGCTGAATAAATCACATCACCATTGCTACATATTTTATAGAAAGTCTCCAGTGAAAATTACATGGACCGTCAAGCCAATTTTGTCTGATGTAACCATTAACTATGAAAGAAATATCGCAGCATTCAGTAAAGTTCGAACTGAAAATAACATTAAAGATAAGATTATACCTGATCAATATCTTCATGAGTATGACCCACCATCAAAAATGAGATAATAAAAAAGCTATACTCTTAAGGTTATAGTACACTCTTCGTTCAGATCTACAACAAAAAAATGATTTGGCGTGAGGCTTTGTTTGCTTCAAAAGGTTGATTTTACCAAGTTATCATAGCAGCTTTTTATGATTTTTAGAACATACCTTTGAAGGTCATTGTGACTCACCTTAAGACTTTTGACGTCTTCTCTCGTAAGGATGAACATTCCTTTTTCAGTTCTTTGATTGATGTGCATATTCCACATTTTGTGAATTGGTTTCTCTAAAAAGGAAAAAGGCATCATAAATGCCCGGAGCTCTGAAACCAGTTGAAAAGGGGGAAGGCTCATGCCTAAAGATTCTGCATAAAAACCCTTTAGCTTCGATGGAAGATTAATTGCTTCTCAATTGTAGTAAGAACATAAATTTCAACATTTTGAGGGTGCTTCTTCAAGTTGCTAAAATTAAAAAAAACAGGATTTGCCAACTATTTGCGTTGAGTCCCTGAAACCATCCGAATGCATCTGAGCAATAGAGCTGAAATAAATGTCTTCCTTCGTGTAGCAAGTCGGCAAAAACATCTTCTCTTCATCCTGAGCTCGGTCCCCACTTTCATCTATAAACTTCTCAAACCAGTTCATCGCTTGTGCCACTTTTTTGGTTTCCCGTTTAGTTCCATGCTTCTCGCTTCTCCCGTCAACTCTAACGTAAATTTCAAAATCCTGCTTCAAAGAGTAGAACCTGAAAAATTGAAAAAAGTCATGCCATTAAAATCAGAATCTAGAATCAATATACCCTGGGTACCAGAGCCACATAAGTCGAAGGCTTGAAGGTAGGAGCTAGACCTTCTCCACTTCTCTGCTTGGAATTCTGTTTACGCACTCAGAAAGAATCAATGCAACTAGCTTTGTTAACCTATTCTCGAATTCAAAGTACACATTTTGTAGTTTTTTTAGTTATAAAACTGTTTACAAACCTTAAAACTATAAAATATTGTTTTATCTTTACAGGAACTTGCTAAAAGAACACTTTCTGGTCCTTCCGTTTTGGGTGCATTCTAGTAGCTTCATTTTTTTCAGAGAAACTAACTTTTTTCAGGTACAATCGTAAAATTTGACTATTTACAGTAACTTGAAAAGGTTCATAAAAATTAGCAAGAAATTAACGCGATTTTGATTAACTGATCTTTGTTATTGCAAAAAAACTGTAGGCTCCTACCTATGATTGGAAATTCCATGAATGAACTGCCAAGCTTTGCGACAAATCTTATTGGTTCCAATGAAAAAAGTCCAGTTTCCTGCCGTTGGCATTGTACTGAAGAAGTGTAAAATTCTCTCCCTCTGCTTCTCCCCAGATAATTCTCGAAACTGTTTCCGCGCTTCATACATTGAGTTTATATTCATTTTTACAAGGCATCTCTCTCTGCAGCATACAGCATCAGATGTTGACATTTCTTTATGTTTTTTTTGCACGAATTGTATTAGGTCCGAAGAAACATTTTTGTTGCACGATCTTTTGCATTTCTCATCAAGAATTATCTTTAAAAAATAAGTTTGACAATTTTTGAATAATTGTAGGAATGGGAAACAAAACTAGCAGATTCTGTTCATCATTCCTCTACTATACTACTACTTGCTAGATGATATTATAAATTTTTGCAAATATAAAGTTCATCATTGCTCTACTATACTACTACTTGCTAGATGATATTATAATTTTTGCAAATGTAAATAGTATGACCCAAAAGAAACGTTGTTATGAGTTTTCTTCTGTGAAATTGCGAAAATAGATAAAAGAGAATGAAATCTTACGTTGTTGCCAATGTCGCCGAATGGTCTACGTCTTTTACCCTCATATTCACCATACGCGTCTAATTCCACCTACATTTACAGAAATAAATATATACAATCATCAAAAACTGATTTCAACTTTCTTGATTAAATATTGATTAAATGCATAGTGTATTTCAACCTAAAGTTCTGATAATTATTATTAATTGCGTTGCTAACTATTTTTTAAAATACGTTGCATAATAACAGGTTCTGGAAAATGAAATGACTTGCCTCTATTTCTTCACAGCTTGTTTTACTCTCTGCCAATGTTTTGCTTTCTTGCTTCGTATTTTCTTTTACTTCATTCTCCTCTCTAGTTTCCAAAATTTCAAACGAGCCCATCGTGAACGTGCTTGATAACCTTCTCCCTCTCTTAACAAGAGTGAATGCTGAGAACTTTCCCGCCAAAACAGTTGGATACCCGCTAGCACATGTTTACATTTTGTTTAATCCATTATGTGACCCAAGAATCATATTTTCACATGGACCTTTGTCATATCGCTGCAAGTGGTCTGCACTTAGATATGATTTCAGCGCTTGGATACCATGAAGGGCACTTGGATTCATAATAAAGGGCACTTGGATACAAAATGGTGCACTTGGATACAAAATAGTGCACTTGGATATCAGCATGGCTGCATTGCGGGACCACAGGCTGTATGAAGGGATCATGATTTTTTCTGTTTCTCTTTTCTAAAACTATTTTTTGTCATGCTCCTCTGGAAAATGTTTTCAAAGTTCCCAATGAAATATGTACCTATGCAAATTCATTTCTTCTATTTTTTAAGCATACTTTTTACGAATAAATTTTTCGGTTTGATTTTTTCCATTTAAGAATATTATTACACTTATTTGTTATATAAGAAATCTACTGCAAGAAACGAGTGCTGACTAATATAAAAAACTTGTTATTAATAATAATAATTGTTATTTTCTTATTGTTATTTTATATTTTTATAACAAGGAGCAATTGAATCTTGAATGAAACTTAGAGTTGGCATGAAATTAAAGACAGATGTATTTTGCAAAAATGGGTTTATACTAACAACCTTCAACACTCAAAACATAATAATTATCAGCTGACATAGGCAGGAATGTAGTTGTAAAAGTTTATCAAGGGGGGGGGTCTCTTTAAGATATCAAAGTTGTTCTTGTCATATTACCATGACAAACGTGGTCGTTTTCTCTGAGCATTGGTTGAGCAGCCAAGTTCAAGTTCATTGACTGTTTCAGCGGCCAGGTACCATGGGAAGTGGAAACTTGATTGAAAAAGAGGGGGGGGGGCAAAATGTTTGTATTCCTCAGGGGTTGAATGAAAGCCGACAACGTGGATGGCAGGGATGACACTTTTGAGTTAATGAAATTCTAAGGATGGCCAGAAAATGCATCTTAAATTTTCGAAATTTCAACATCAAAGGAAAATCCTAAGAAATATTTGCAAGCTAAATTTGTAATTATCACTAAAAACCAATCGGTTGGATTTTGAATTGATACATTTTCTCTCATGTTAACAAAACAATGCAGTTTTTATCAGCTGATGAACGGTGCTACTACAAATATCATAAAAAAGTGTTGTTCAGAGAAATTTCAAACAGGGGTTTATCGGGTGGGGGGCTCAGGGAGACGCAGCCTCCCTTGTTAGAATTTTTGAAAAAAGCAAGAGGCAGTTTATATATATAGGTGTCAATCAGCTTTTATGGAATGCAATGGATCCACCGGCAGAGTAACTGGGCGGTTTGTCAGTGGAAATGTGCTGAATCTGTCACATCGGGTCCTTTTGGAAGAGGAAGTAAGTCTTCTTTCAAAGGGTTTGAAATTTTCACCGACACCAACTGACCTAAACAAGGCGCAGCTCAAGGTGGATTTGGACACCTTGAAGAGAAGGATGCGTCTATGTTGGTTTTTTAGGGACACTAACTCGAACAATTTGGATAAGACTAGTCTTAAATTTAAATGTAAGTCCAGCTGGAGTCCTTCTAATACTGATCCTTTGCTAAAATCCTATCTTGCTCAATTCGAAAAGAAGGTGCTGTCTGTCCAGGCGGAGGGTAAGTATCACAGTAACCTTTCCTCTTCTGAACTGCGTTAAATAATCTTAAATGTGATAGGAACATAGTTATCAAGGAAGCGGACAAGGGTTCAGCGGTTGTAGTTTGGGACAGGGGGGATTACTTAGAAGAAGCTAACCGGCAATTAGGTGATAGGCAAGTTTACGAGTAGATTGAGGTGGATCCCACGATAGAATTGGGTAAGGCCGTTAACAACAGGATTAATGAGTTAAGGTTGGAGGATCCCGGGTTAAAGGAAGTGACTGATTTTCTTAAAGTTAATGAGGGGAAACTAGGTAGGTTCTATTTGTTACCTAAGGTTCATAAGGGATTAAGTGGGGTTAAGGGTCGACCAGTCATTAGACAGAAGTTAGGCATCGCTATAGGAACTAAGTTTGCTCCAGCTTATGCAAACCTCTTTATGACTGGGTTGGAAGAAAGATTGTTGAAGGAATCAGTGGACACACCCATTGTTTGGATGAGATTCATCAATGATGTTTTCTTTATCTGGACACATGGCGAGGAGAAGCTTGAGACCTTCATCAACTTTCTTAACAGTAGCCACGATACCATTAAGTTTACAGGGGAGCACTCCAGGGAGAGTGTAAGTTTTCTAGACGTTAACGTTAGTGTAAGTGAAGGGGGAGTCCTAACGACAGACTTGTTTTGTAAACCTACTGATACACATCAGTATTTACATAAGAAGTCTTGTGACCCATGGCATACCAAGAAGGCGGTACCCTATAGTCAGGCTTTAAGGTTAAATAGGATTTGTTCAGACGATCGCCAGTTACCGGATAGGTTAAGGGATTTGGCTGGATAGTTAAAGGCAAGGGGGTATGAGGAATCACTTATAACAGAACAGATAGATAAGGCACGTAAGCAGGATAGGGTCACATTACTGGATAAGGCTAATGGGAAACAAGATCACAATGGGAATGGGCGGGTTCCGTCCTTCCATCCAGCCTTGTATAATTTGGGCAAGGTGGCCGGGAGACTCCATTCTATGGTGATGATATCGGAAGGTGTTTCCTCAGCAACCTTTGATATCATTTAAACGATGTAAGAACCTTAAAGATTTACTAGTTAGGGCGAAACTTTATAATGAGGGGGCAGGGACCACGCATAATAGGGGTTGTACTCTAGACTTACTCCATGAGCCTCTGTTTCGCTACTGCCTCACTTGACGGACGCTACAACAGAGACTCATAATCCAAAGTACTCAAAAACTGGCGCTCAGGACAACTTTTTGTCCTACCAATCACAGAGCAGCTTTTCAAAATACGGTTTTCTGATTGGCTGGCACCTCAATTTCTTTCATAACGAGGTATCTTTTTAAAAACATCCTAACCCCCGTGTTGTTAGCGTTACAAAATATCACTGTCGAGAAATGGCAGAAAACTGTTGGCTGTTTTCGAAGATTTTGAAAGTGAATTCTATTGCAAAGCGTACAATGAAAAACACGTTTTTGCGTTCGCCCTCTACTGCATATGGAAACACTTTGTATCATTTTTGTATGAACTTTTTGTCCCGAGGATATGCCTTAGTACACTCCACTCTCAGAAGTATCGCGCTGGCTTGACGAAAAGAATTAAATGACGACAGCGTTGAAAACAACCTGACCAGTGAATTTTGAACTTCACCTTTGTGAAGCCACTAGGCGCTAGTTTATAGTCAAGAACCAATTTAAAAAAAAACTTTAAAAAATTAGCAACACTTTTCATCAAATATTTGATAAATTACTTTAAAAGATCGAAGTGTCGATTTTTTTATCGGAGAACCTTGAAACCATAGTGAGACCTGCTAAAATTTAATCAAAAATAATGATTACAACTTTTGTTAAACAGGATAAGATAATTTTGTATTTCCATACAAATTTATAATAATTCTGTCAATGATACACCAACAACCGTTAGAATTAATTGATCCTAGGGATTTCCTGTCGACGATACGTAGAGTAAAAGGACTTTTCCTTCATACACCTAAGGGATTTTTCTAATCCCAGTCCAGATAAATTCGGGCCTACCTACATGGAGAATGCACCCTGATATTGGAGAAGTTCAGACAAAAAACACCACAACTCAGTGAATATAATTAGTATATACCAAATTCAATTGGATGCAAGCATGTTTACTACAACATAATAAACAGTCAAGACAAAAAGTCACTTTGACAAAACTGAAGCTATAAATGATACTATAAATGAGTTCATATTATATTCTTGAAAAAGTCCACAATGAAATTTTACTTTATTGGGAGAATTGTCTGTCTTCATTGAGTTGTCATCTAGAACATAGACATAACAAAAAATTACTCACAATAACAAGAGGCACAACTTTATCCATTTTAATATCCTAGTTTTTGCCGCGGTCCTAGCTACAAGGCCTAGTTCAAAATTTGGCTTAACTTACTATGCTTGAAAGTGACATCAAAATTGAACTGGTCTGGAAAATTTATCGGTAGAATAAACGCCTTGAAAAAAATCGGCCCTTGTTTTTGACCTTCCTGAACCAAGCCTTTCTCCTTCAGTTACTTATCTATCTCCATTAATTTGACTTAAGCATCATGGAGCTAACAAACTTATCCACGTGTTTGTTGCCAGCCACAAGGCACAGTAATTCACGCAAAGAAGTGAAATAAATTATAAAAATCATTCTACATGACTTCTTTGAAAAAATTACTGCAAGAATACTGCAAAAAGGATAACTTACTGTTGCAAAGTCTTCACTGTAACTGCCACACCAGAGAAAATGCAATTCCCAGAGAAAAGAAGAAAAAACCATCCATACGTACGAAAAAACTAACATCTTTACACGCGAATGAAAAAGCTGTGCAAATGTGCAAATCAGGGGGGTGGATTTGGAAATATTTGAAAAGAAATCGAGAACGAGACAAAATTGAAGTTGCCAGTTTTTGAGTACTTTGGATTATGAGTCTCTGTTGTAGCGTCCGTCAAGTGAGGCAGTAGCGAAACAGAGGCTCATGGAGTAAGTCTAGTTGTACTCCATGTGGCAAGTCTCAATGTCAAGTGTGTAATGTTATGTGTGACAGTGATAACTTTTACTTCCCATATAACTGATAAGGAATATAAGATAAATTTTCCGTTTAACTGTGATTAGTCCAATGTTGTGTATCTTATGGAATGTAAAGTATGTGGTGTACAGTATGTGGGTAGCACTTGCACGCCGTTTAGGCTTAGGTTTAATAACTAAAAGGCGTGCAATCGTAAGTTTATCGGGGGCTCTTCGGGTATACCTCAGGCTGATTTTTTCGGCATTTTGCAGGGAACAATCATCATGGGTTTCTTGAAGATATTAAAGTAACTATTATAGGTAGACTTAATGGGAATGGTAGGATACGTGAAAGTTTCTGGCAGTATAAGTTAGAAACTTTGGCGCCCCAGGGCCTTAATATTAGGTTAGTTGAAACATAGTTTTATTTTTATTTCCAATCTCTTGGATAATTTTCTTCTTTTCACAGCAATTTATTATTTCTACATAATATTATTTTCTAATCTTCATGGTAGGGACAGACAGCATTCAACCTTTCTCGTTTTTGTGCATTCCTGGGTAGTTTACCATCTGCCTTTTTTCACGCTTGTCTTTTGTTCTTTTATCTATTGTATTTTTTCCGCTTTTCTCACCTTCAGCTGGGCCTAGAAAGTTTACTTGTGTCGTATAATTAGCCATTATCGTCCTTGCTTGTAAAATGTGCTCTTTTGTCCTATTGTTTTGTATTCCTTACTTTACGCTCCAAATGTAAGTGAAGGTTATTCTGAAGAAGCATATTGCGAAACGTTAATCAAGTTTTTTTTTACTGATCATCTATATATATATATATAGATGATCAGTAAAAGATCTTGACTCTTTCAATTTCAGATACCAGTCTCACATGGAATTCTTGAATAAATGCATTGACGAGAAGTTAGTTCCAAATGGCTTGAAAAATGAAGTGGAGCCTTCTATTGGCAATCACGACGAAACGTTTTTGACTATGTGGAATGAAAAATTAAAATCTTACTCAATTGATCTAATGAAGGAAATTGTAAAATTCTGCGGAAGCACTCTTTCCAAAACTGAGCAAGAAAAGTCAAAAGTTGATGCACTTCTAAATCGAGAAATAGATGCAGACACCTACAATGATGTTAAAAAAACTATCAACGCAAATATACTGCAAACAAAAAATACATGCCAAAAGAGAAAGTCAAGGAAGTTATACTACCTGAAATACGGTAAGCCCCAAAACAAAAATGTAGCTGCGGCTTCTAAGGAAAAGAAACAACAAATTGCACCCCAGAAAGAAAAAGAGGACAAGTCTTACGCGGGCGCAGTAAAACAACCGCAACAGACGGCATCCAACCAAAGTTGACCAATGAGCTTTGTAGATCACCTAAAAAATGTAAGAGCATCAACAAGCCAGAGCCAAAGAGACAGAACAACGAAAGTCCCTGGAATGATCAAAATTTTGCAGCGCCCGAAACAAAGAACGGAAAAGTCTAATCAAACAACACATGTTGAAGCACAAAAAACCGAGGAAATTCAAAACCGGAACCAAAAAAACGAAACCACGGCCTCCATGTATCATGGGGGCCTAACAGATATGCTTAGAGCCCTAAACGAAACAACAAAGGCAATAACAGGATTCGAAAAGTTATTAAGAAGCTTGTCCGAACAATAAACAATCCGTTTGGACAGGTCATAAATTTGTCAAACTTCAAATTTTCCTTAAGTGAATTTAAACTATTAAACAAAAACCTCAACTTTTGTCCTACACCCTTACCTTACAAAAGAAAAGAACTGGAAGAAGACATGAAGGAATTTTTTCGAAAAATCAAACTTAAAGCCCATTTTAACAACAATGAAGAAACACTAGAAGATGAAGAAGAAACTGACGAGCAACAAACAGATGAAGAAAGAATATTTAGGAAGAAAAGTAGATGGACACCATACAATGTACATCATACAGTCGAAACTTATATAGAAGCGGTAAAAAGCGATATTTACTCAACACCTAAGGTACCTCTAACCAAAAATAACCTCTCAAAAAAAGAAATAAAAGCCATGAATGATTTAAAACAAAGAACCGACATTATCATAATCAAAGCGGACAAAGGGGGAGCATTTGTAATAATTGATGTAAAAGACTATATAAAAGAAGCAAACAGACAGTTAGGTAATACCCAGTTCTATTCAACCATTGATGAAGATTTAACCAATAAACACAATAAAATTATAAATGATTTAATCGACAGGTATATAGGAGAGAAATTAATACAATCTAAAATTGGAGAAGCGTTAAAAACAGCTAACCCTAAAACACCTAGGTTCTACATGCTACCAAAAATACATAAACCAAACAATCCCGGTCGACCGGTGGTAAGCTCAGTAGCTTGCCATTCTAGCCAAATCTCTAAATATGTAGACTACCACTTAAATCCAGTAGCACAGCGACTAAGTTCGTACGTAAGAGACACCACAGATTTTATTAATAAATTATCGTCAGTTAAAGACCTACCACATAATACAGTACTTATTTCCATGGATGTCAGATCCCTTTACACTAATATCCCTACAAATGAAGGCTTTGATGCTGTTAAACAAAAATTAAACGAGCCTACAAATACAATTACACTTTCAGCCTCTCCAATCGTAATACTTGAATTTCTAAAACTTATACTTACCTGTAACAATTTTGAATTTAATGGCAATAATTTCCTCCAAATCAAGGGTTGTGCCATGGGAACAATATGTGCCCCCTCTTACGCTAACATATCTTATATTTATGGGGAAATTCGAAGAAGAATACATTTATCCATATATTGGGAATAAAGCAAAATTATATCTACGTTACATTGACGACATATTTATTTTGTGGACAGGCACTTAACGAAAAACATTCCTCTATCAAATTTGATTATGAGATGTCAGCAAAAGAAGTCCCATTTTTAGACACGATCGTTTATATCGATAACAGAAACCATTTGCAAACAAGACTACATAGGAAACCCACAGACAGACAGAATTATCTTCATAGAGCATCTGAACATCCACTACCACTAAAAAATAGCCTAGCCCACAGCCAAGCATTAAGAACTTAGAGTATGAAAATAACACAGAGCAACTTGTCAAAACATTTACATCACGAGGATACGATAGAGCAATCATTGACAAACAAATAAAAGAGGTTGACAGCATTTCACGCGAAGAACTACTAAAAACAAAATTCTAAAACGACAACAAGTAACAGAACTCCATTCATCACAACTTATTACAGAACCCTTCCACCTATTGGAAGTATATTACGTAAGTACTGGAACATCCTTAACATCAATCCCAAAATTGCGAAAAGCTTCAAAAATCCTCCCATGATGTCATACAAACGTAACAAGAATTTAAGGGATATCCTTGGGAGTAATAAAATATCCAACAATGAAGTAGCAAAATATAAAAGCCGTAATGAAAAGGGTCATTGTAAACCATGTAATACTAAACAAGGCAATTTATGTTGCCAACAAGTTTTGAGCACATCAACTTTTAAAAGTAACCAAACCAAGCGGACTTATGTGATCCGACATAAGGTTAACTGCAAAAGTAAGTATGTGATCTATCTACTAGAATGTATAAAATGCGGTTTACAATACATTGGTAAATCAGAAACACAAGTTAATCTACGAATAAACAACCACCAAAAAGACTCAAGTAAATCAGCATCAATACCAGTTTGCCAACACTTTAACAACACTTCCAACAACTTCAATAATGACGCGAAATTTATAATAATTGAACAGCTTAAGTCTCTTGAAGGCGACAAGGAACTCTTAAGATCTCGACTGCAACGACAGAAGACTTTTGGATAAAAATACTGAAAACCCTAAGTCCGCTTGGGTTAAACATGGAACTCAATAGCCCTATATAGGGCAATACATTTCATAACCTCGTTTTCCCAATTCATTCGTGCATTTTGTCAAACAACAGACTTTATTTCTGGGGTGAGGTCTTACATCATATTAATAAACAATGAAACGTCACATTAGAATAGCCTATATTTAGATATGCTTTATGTACCAAATAGTTCTTACTTAATTCTAAGATTACAGGGATCCAAATAGTTCTTACCCTCTCCAAAGTCTTAAGATTACAGGGATCCATTCTTTGGCATTTTTTCCCCTTGATGTTTTCATGATCGCTACATTATCAACCTTTAGATCAGTGTGCACAAATCCATTTTTGTGAACATGATGCAATGCACTTGCTAGCTTGACCAGAATTTCTAGAAAACATTCTTCTGTAACGTCCTCTAATCCACCATTTCTTATGACACAGGATAAGTTTAAACACACATTGTTTCTTGTACAGAGCTGCAAGACCAATTCAATAGGCCTTGAGTTTATAATTATCCCATATAGCATGGGAATGCTTTCATGAGGACTGATGTTTATTAGTGTTCTAGCTTCTCCTACTGCTCGATCTATAATTATTTTTGGTGAAAATTCAGAAATCTCTTTGAATTCTTTAACTGCAACTGCAAACTTGCGATATTGCATAATAAAAGAAAACGTCCCTTCCCCTAAAACTGTATCGCCTTCAATTAAATTCTGAAGCATATCCCGTTCAATGAATCTGTCTTTTGGAATCCCAGAAGGGACATATCTAGAAAAGTAGTAAGCCATGCTATCTGTTGCTTGATAACCAACTTCGACTGCCTTCTTGTTACTTTGAACATCTTTTTGGATGCTATCGGCCGGAATATTTACGTTCCCCTTTAACCATAGTAACTGTAAGGGCCACCCTTTGTGTGCTGATGCTTGACTTCTGGAAATGCTGTTTTCACTGCTAAGCCAAGTTTCCTTTCGTTTATACACGCAGATGGAATGTTACCTGGGCTTTTAATAATTAGCTCTGTACAGGTATTTTTGCCAACCATAACTTCCCCTCCTTTGAACAATCATATTTGAAGTTTTCTTTTAGCCGAAAACGGTAATGATTTTGTTATTGCAGATAACAGGACGTCTTGAGCTTACGCTCACTTAAATTTCTACAAATAGGAATTTTTTAAATAGTTGCTGCAGTGGTTATTTGCACCACCATCTGAATAAATTGTAGAAAAATTTTTAAAGTGTGAAGTAATGACGCTACAGCTACCACTTCCATGTTATCTTTAAATATTATTTTTTGTAGGTAAAAAAACCAAATAGCTATTCTGTTTTTACTTACCAATTCAACAGAATGTTCTGAGACATGATTCTTGTGAGTTGTTAAAAAGCGACACGATGAAACATAAAACTAGAAAAGTTCACAGATACAAAAAACTAGTTTCCTTTGCGCCTTATTACTTTGACACCTCAGGAAGTACTGGCAACATGCTCCGTCCCTGCCCGGATCTTGTATTACTCATCTATTCAGGTGAGTCGATGCCCTGATACACTCTTCTGTCGATACATCAAACCTGTATTCTGTGTTCTAAAAAAATGGCTACGAGATCACTCGAAGATTTTCCTTTTGAAACGTTGTTTAACTCATCAAATGATTCAAGTATGGAAGATGTGATACATAGTACACCAGTCCCTAATAACTCTGGAGTAAGGGCATCATGATCCGTTTTTCATAAAAATTGTTCTATCATTCTGACATTTGAGAGAAGCCAGAGTGAAGATGACGCGACTGCTGAGGTGACATTTTCGGACCAAGTAGTAAATCTGAGAGACATCATGTTTGAAAAAAGGGAGCCAGAAGATTTCAATTTTAGCAGAAAGGAGATCCTCAACTTTAACCATGTTGCAAGAGAGAAATATGGGAACCTGGTAAGACAAATTTACAATATTCAACAAAACAACAAGCTCCTGATCACTTGTATTCTCTTATAAAAGAGGAGTAAAAGAGTAGTGTGGAATAGCTGAAAGATTGAAGGTGGTAACAATGTTCAATATTTTCATTTTTAGCCAGACAACTTCCACTTTTCCATACTATGGTAGCATATCTAGACAAAGGTGCATGGGAAATAGCGGAACAGATTATTGATAAAATGGAAAGGAGAAAGATGCATGGCAAAGCAATTCCTACCACATTTACATTCAAGTTTCTCAGTGGATGCAAGACCAGTGGTGGAAAAAAGGAGCGCTTATTGGAGTACATGCGTCATAACGAATTGGAAGCAAGCAGAAAGCACAAAAAGAGGGCATTTCATCCAGAATCAAAGGTTGTTTTGAATTATTTGCCGTAGTGGATAAACATGATATCTTTGAAATTGTTTAAGGGGTGCTTGAGGATCAGACAGAGTTTAGAATCTTTCCAGCAATATGAATTGGCTTCTTGGGATCTATCCACTTAATAAACTAGTCATAGAAACGATATTTACCAAAAAAATATACATCCAATTAGAATCACACAACATTACAAAAAATCCATACAATCTTTTCTAAGAACAATTTGATAAGAACAAGAGCCTCAAAATTGGTCAAATTAGAACAAGCTGAGGCTGAGCTACTGTAAAATGTGATTTTGAACAACATTTTATCTCAAAGACGAGAATTTTAAGCAATATGTGGGTGCTTCTTCGGTGTAAATTCAAACTTGTTGGTAAATAAAGATTCTTCACTGATTTTGTTGGCAAAGGAGGCCTGAAGTAGAGCGAAAAAGCTAACAATCCCACTGCTTACACCATATTAATTTTAGAAACCTTTCAGCCTGAACTTTAGTTTACTGATTCTTATAAAAAAGAGATTGGCAACGGTTATCAACATAAAGATAATAGATTTTTAAAATTCAATTTTTGAGTGATGAACTTGCAACCTTGATATACTAAGATCGAATGGGGTTGCATCAGTCAGCCTGCGTGTGCAGCAGAAGTAAAAAAGAGACCTGTAATAATGAAGTCGTCATAAATACTCATGGGTAAATATCAGAAACGACCAACATCTCGTTAAGTTGCCTCAAATGAAATAGAATTTGGGTGAAAAGGTTTTTATTATCTGGCGGGAAAAGAATTCAATGACGTACCACTGAGCGCCAGAAAATTTGAATTGAGTCTTCGTTTAAGCAATTTTTAGAAAATCATTTCATGATGCGAAGCTATTTTTATATTTATTATCTTTGGATTGGACTCGATTTTACTCATTTAGTATATTTTGAATACATGATTTCATGTAGATTTTTACTGTTAGTTTTTGAAACATTTGATTCAATTTATTTGAGCGCTGAATACCCTTCTGTCATTTGAAAGTGTGGAAATGTAAAACAATTCAATCTAATGTCTCTTGTATTTAATGGACAACAACATTTTTAAGGCATATTTTAAATAACTGCTTTCAATGGTCAAGAATATCTAATTTGGAATCTATTGATCATGCTGCAAGGAGGAGCAAGCAGCGAAGAACTTTTGCGAGAGGAGCTTAAATGTGCCAGATTAGAAGTTGTTTTTAATCTTTATAAGTTCAAAAACTAAATAAAGGACAGTCGTCTCCATTTATCGATCGACAACGAGCACCACGCTAGACCTGGCATTTCCTGACATCGGGCCGAGAAATGGGTTAAATTGATATGCAGTTTCCGTTGCCAAAACTGGTCCTGCTTCAAAATAGTGTGACAATCAACTTTAGACTAATCCTTTGACAGATTTGCCTAATCCAGCACTAGACTGCTTACATAGCTGTTTAACACCCATTGTTAGAAGATGATAGGGATAACATTCGTCATGATTAAATCATGTTTTATTTGCTAGTGCCCCTGTCTCCTTGTCTCGTGTATTGTACCATGCAAACTTTTGGCTTCACTGGCCATTCCTCTAATCTTTCAGTATTGACAATTGCCATGGTAAATATCAGTATTGATATGACATGTTTATCACAAAGGACAGCACGTTGAAAATCTGCTTGTATGAATCATATTCACCGTCACACTATCCGAATATTCAAAACACTCCAGTCTAGATCCGTATTATATACTTTACTGCAGTTTTAAACTACTTGCTTATCAAAAAGTGAGGAGGGCCATGGCCCCTACGGCCCCTCTCCCCCTGTTGTCGTGGACCCTTGATTCCCAGTGGAAGTAATCTAATCAGTCTGCTCCTTCCATAGATAATAAAGCAAATATTACACGATTTGTAGAAGATGTCTTTAGATGTGGAAAAAATTATAAAAACTCATGTAGATTCTATTGCTATATTCTTCAAGCACTGTTATTTGCATTTCATATTTTTTTGCAAAATAATGTTTATTTCTGAAAAACCTGCCATTTTGTTAAGATAATTTTTCTTTATTTGTATTACAAATTTTATCATGAAAACAAAGCAACAATCATTATCAATATTTCGTTTACACATTAAGAGCATTATGATAGTTGTATGACATTAATGTGATTATACTGATTGATGGTGATGATAATGCACTTGTCTCAAACCAAAGTATTTTGGGTGGAAAATCAAAAGTCTTGTTTACAAGTTGGCAAGCTCCAACATTCACTCATCAATGTGAAAGAATTTTCTTGATACATCGTTTTTTTCACTGTTACATCCTGTACTTTCAATATGCAAGGTAAACTATGATTCCATCAAAATAGAATCTCTTCTACCATCAATCGAGGCATTTTCTTAGCCACTCTAAATATACAACAAACTACTCTACAGACTACATTGATAAACATTAAGCATTCAGGCAAAAGGAAACCTTTTAAAGAAATTACATCAAAGTCAGCACTGAAGCTTTTAAACAATATTCTAATATTTTGATATTGAAAGCCGCCTGGTTTGTTTCCAAATTTCAAGGTTCGTAAAGCCGCATTTACACTAGCAAGTTTTCATTGACAATTTTTCTTTGAAAAGTTAATTTTGATCGTGTAGATTGGGCGTGCCAGTTTTTGCAAGTGCACTTGACAAGTAAAAAATTATCATATGGAAAACTTGCTCGTGTAGATGTCTTAACAAGTAAACTTGACAAATTTGACTCAATTCCAGACCTTTTCTTTTCTCGCAATTGCTTGTTATTGGCCGATCAAGGAACATCAATGCTTTTAATACTCTGCAAAGCCTTTGGAATATAAAGGCAGAAAGTTGTATAATTGGATGAATGAATATAATCAACAAGGATGAGTATGCGTAGTACGGGTATGGGTATACAGATATTAAAGGAAGACATTCCAGGGGTTTCCCACCCATGAATAAAAGTATTTTCTTCGTTAAAGGAGCTATTATTTGCGAAAAAATTCGACATAAAAAACGTGCCGCATCACAAAAACCGTGTCAAACATATAAACTCTGCTGGCCAAAACGATTGTCAGAGCAAATAGATGTTGTGAGCGAGGACTGATGCCTTTCTACACAAGCAATAAAAAATTGTCAAGTAAAAAAATGTCAAACAAAACTTGTTGCTAATCTACAAGTGCAAGGAATCTTGTCAAGGAAAGTTACCAAAAATAATTGCACATGTAGATGCCGCTTTAAGGTCAAGAGCAAAGGTATACCAAATGAGTTTGACATTTAAATTTTCCATCTTCCCTGCCCAGTTAGAAAATCATGTTAATTTTAGATTTTCTTGACCAGATGTTGATTTTCAATTCCAACCATCATCGATACCTGAGAAAACAGCCTCTATCAACAGCCAGCATTGCCAACAAGCAGGACAAAATTTGTCGAAGCCTACCCAAATTAGAAGAAAGAAGTATATCGACACGGACATGAGTGGATATGTTATGAGTGGATATGAAGCTGACACGGACAGTGACAGTGAAGTGGAAAGTTTGCTACTGTTACAAGACGAAACTTCTTCTTCCACCGAATCAAGAAAATCTGGTGAGATTCGTGATTCCTTCTATTGGATTCTATCTGTAATAAGTTAAGGACTGATGCCTTAAAGCTAGTTTCTGTCGATTTCCCAATTAATGATACTTTCCCTCTCCTAGACCTCATTTGTAGATTAATCCTGATACAAAATTCTTTATTTTTTATATATTAATATAAATAAAGGTTGTACATAATAAGCACTATATATGTTCATTGCATCAAGCTTTTTATCTTGGATTAAATTTTTAAATCAGATTGATTTGTTGAAACAGATGCCTGCTGTGAATGCGAAAAAAAATCTGACATGACATGACATCTGCAAGTGATGAAGATTATGACGCGGACGATGAGCAAGAAGAAAAATTTGGTGAGAGAAATGTATTGCCATCATAACAAGTATTGAAGAGCATTTGGATAAAGGTAGTTCCATGGCAAATTATCAGTGGCGTCACAGCCTTATTGTACGCCCCCTGTAAAAATCCTACACAGGCAGAAGAAGCTATAAAAAATTTATGTACAATACAGGGGATGCAGATGTTGTTGTGACGCTTGTGCAAATTGTTCTCTTAACTTATTCATATGAAAAAGTGAATAGAACCATTTTGGAAGCAAATAAATTCAATCAACAAAGCAGTAACTTCTATGTAAATCAGCGATTTTTATTAAACTACATCAAATCAAATTGTAGGAAATTATTTGTAAACGCTTTTTTATCCGATCAAAATCTTGAATATTGGGTTGTGCTTTCTGGAGCTCCCCTCAACGACAACTCTACTAGAACTTAGTACATTTTCAATTAAGTTTTTTAGGCAAATATGAGTCCAGGGCCATCAGAACAGGAGGGGGAAAGCATCCAAGGGCACAGGAATCTCTCCTCTTAAAGAAATAGGCATTACAAAATCATCCAAAATTTAACCTCTGTTTGGTAATAGATTTTATTTAAGGCACAGCTGCTTATGAAACTGATGATGCAGACGATGAACTGGATCACTCTTCAAGTAGTTCAGGAAGAATACATCTTGGACATGATTGAACCAATTTATACCTCCAGATACTTTTTGGACAATTGAAGGCTCAAGTGTGTTGTTAAATGTCTATGGTATGACAACAGTAACAGTTTAGCTTGATACTTCTAGTGTATAGCCTTGCTAATTAGACACAATGAGATAAACAGTTCTGTTTCCTCAGGGGGAGGAGGCAAAAATAGACAGGGAATATGTTTGAACAGTTCAAGAAATTAAATCAAAATTAGCAATGTTTAAGAATAACGGTCAAATTTCCTACATTTCTGAAAAATTTGGGAAGCTTGAAAACACAGTTTTTATCTTGTTTTTCTGCTTCCTAAACAAATTTCTTAATTTCTTGCAGATTCTTCTGCTAACGAAGAAAGAGACTTTTCTGAGTCTACATGGACATGCAACTCGGAAAGAAGTCCCTTCAATGTCGGTTGGCAACAAATGCAAAAGGAAAAACTTAAACGAAAGCGAATCTTGGAGAATAATGCAGCGAATAAAAAAAAGAAGATAGGATTTAGGAAGCGCCTCTGGGCATTAGTGGAGTGGGGGGAGGCAATGCCTACAAAAACACACAAATTCGCCGACAAATAGCATAATTCAAAAGACAAAAACAACAATTTAGCATTGTAAAAAATTTTCCAGGATCTCTAAAGAACTATACAAATACGAGTTGTTTGACTCAGTGAACATTTGACCCAGCCATGTGTAATTAATAGAGCGGTTGCAATAGAGCCCCCATGCCTGGTTTCCAATATTGCTGCCATCTTGACAGGCAAGGTGGCTTTTTCGAAAACGTAAACATGACCACTCAAAGCAGCGAGATTTCTCTTTTGTCATACCTTTAATCGATGGGAGCAAAGGCGAATAAAAAATTATCAAAAATTGAGTGCATTGAGTGCATTGACAAGAACATGAAACACTTGCCTAACGTAGACTACACTGACATTGTTAATTACCTTGTCTATTCAACAAGTTACCTGACAGCAAAGGCGATAAAGGCGAAGAAGTCATTACAAGCTTATAAAAACTTCTTGAGTGGGTGGGTTTTAGAAGCGGCAACAATATTATACAAGGAAAAGTGCGTTTTGATAGGAATGGTAAGTCAAAGATCTTATCCTAATAATAAATCTAAAATTATTGCAACAAAAGCTAACTTGCTGAAATTAGTGCAAGAAAAGTTAACTTGCTGAAATTATTGCAGCAAAGGTTGTTTTGTTGAAACGATCTTAACTGGACAGCAGCGCAATCTTGGATAGTTTTTTAGGTTAGAGTAAATCTTAGCTTCAGGGATGTATTGCCTTTTGGGATTTCTTGTCTCTGCCTGTTTCCCTATTTGCTGCCTACTTTTTGATCATGAACATTGTTTTCCTTGAAAAAAATTGCTGCCTATATTAATCTCCGACTATGCTACATTGCCTCCATATGATAAAAGTCTTTACTTTCTATTTGAAATTGTTGCAGAAACCTGTACCTGTATCTACCTGTTGCAGAAATAGATTTCAATCGGAAAGATACAAAATTTCAATTTTGGCAGTAAAAGTTAGGAAGAAAGTCATGGGCCAGTTAAAAGAAGAAAATAGAAAATGCTTGCCGTACTGATCAAGATAAGAAGCAAAAGGAATTCTTTAACAAGATTAGTTTGTGTAGTACTAGACCAGCTATTTTGTCAATAGCAGAGCCTTTTAATGAAGGTTTTATTCCCTTTGGAGCCATCAGCAACCTGTATATACCAGAATTGTATTCTCCTTCAAATACAGGGTGTTCTTTAGATGTTATTCAAAGGAAATGTGCTGAAGTTGTGCTGCCAGTATTGTCAGAGGAACAACTTCAGAGAATCCAAAGAGAGATAGCAAAGCAGTCAAAGTCAAAGCTTTGGTTTAGGCTATGGTCTGGTAGAATCACTGCTTCAAGATTCAAACAAGCTTGTAGTACTGATTTCTGCAACCCAAGCAAGAGCCTGATCAAAGCCATATGTTACCCAACAGAGTGCATATTTACAAGTGACGCTGTAGCTTGGGGTTTGGAAATGGAGAGCATTGCTGAAGCTGCCTATGTAAAAGCCATGGAAGCAGAACACAAAGATTTTCAGTTTTTTAAGGCAGGATTGATTTTAAACAATAAATAGCCATTTTCAGGAGCCTCCCCAAATGGTTTGATATGTTGCAAATGCTGTGGGGAAGGTGTTCTTAAGGTCAAATGTCCTCACAACTGCAGAGAAATTTCACTGAATGAATATGCTTGCAAAGCCTATTCCATGCTAGTGCCTTTACATCGCTCATTTGCACCCAAGCATGGGCATCAATATTATTTTCATATTCAATGCCAACTAGCAATGTCTGTGGCAAAGTATGCGCATTTTGTAGTATGGACACCAAAGGAAACACATACTGAGACAATCTTTCCCAACCAGTCTTTCTTTGATGTTAATGTTAGTAAAGTAGAAAAGTTCTTTCAGCTTTGTGTCCTACCAGAACTACTTGGAAAATACTATACAAAACAATGAGATAATAACAAATCAGCTAATATTTTTCTGTTTTATATATTTCTGTGAATTTGTATAAAAATAAAAATTAATCATTAGACAGTTGGTAATAAAAGCTAAAAGATGATATGGAAAGACATACATTATTTGGTGTGCAAACAAAAGAGTTTTCTACATAAAAATAGTAAGAGAACAATCAAGAGGATATTAGTATATAAGGTACAAAAACATGCGGCAACATTTCAATTACAAAAAGCCATTTGAAAAACAATGATTGCTAAATTTGTTTTAATCAGTTAGATTTTGCTAGATTAGGTTCAGAAAGTGGATGGAAATTTTTTTTGTCTCAATAGAAAAAGGCATTTTTCCATATGAAGAGAGGTCAATCGATGCAGCAGGAACCATCCCACAAAAAAATGAAACCAAGAGAGATCAACATAAAAAGAAAAAAGGTTTGTATAATGAGCTTTTAGTCCATATTAAAGTATAATAAAGTGGTTTCTACTAAAGAATTCATCCTGAGTTGACTTTAAAATTTGCCACGAAGCACCAGTCCTGACCGTGAAGAAGCCAGAGAAGACCCGTTTGTTCTTCCATTAGAGCCGGGGTCCAAGCGAGATTGGAATTAGTGGGGCGGAACTGCCCTCTGATGAAGCGCTTTTGAAAACCCGAACTGATGAATTTTTGACATCAAAACAAAGTTTTAGCTGCCTCAAATGCACCGTGCTGTCTAAAAAAACTTGTAGCATGTCAGAAGAGGAACAGTAGATTTAAGAAGGAGGTTGCTGCACTAAAGGAGAGGATAGAGGAATTGCAAAACAAGCAGGAATATGTGTGTAAATTTTATTGCCTTTGTTTGCTAAAATTTTGACCAGATGATGTTGAAAAGCTGCCCAAGCCCGTCGGAACTGCGGGGGCTGGAGCCCCCCCCTAATAATTGTCAGACTGTAGTATATTCCCTTTAAAAAGTGTATTAAATGAGAAGGAATACAATGGGCAGCAAACCCCCCTTCCCCCCCAATATGAATTTTGTTCCGACGGCACTGCTGCCAATTGATTTTCTTAATACCTCTACTTTTTAGCTGAGCCAAATCAAGTACCAAGGCTTATAATCCAGACTGCAGAGTATTGCAATGCACACCTGAGATATCTTTTCTAAAATGACTTTGCACACCTTGTAAAGGGTGTGGAATTTTTAGATCAGTGCGTGAAATGGGTGTGACCCATAGCCAAGGTCAAATGAAGATTTTAAGTTTCCTCAAAATCAACATAATCTTGCATTGATTTGATAACGAAATAGCCATCAATCATGTACATTGCTCATATTCTCCTTTTATGTAATATTCTCGAAATCTAACATAGTTGGGTGTACTATTGTGCAAAATTGAAGTGCACACTTAACCAAAGGGCGAAATAGTTTTGGATGTAACGATGTAAATGGTCTGTTTAAAAATGATATTGCCGATGATTGTATAATTATTGTTTTATAGTGGGGCTCCTGAAAGATGGGGCTCGTGGGATTAATTTCCAGTTATATAAAAATTTCAGCTACCAAGCTCTGATGATGATTACGAAGATGCTACTGAAAATGAAAGTTGCTATGAAGAATTTGAAGATGTCAGTGGAGATGAAGATGTCATGTACGATGTTTTGGAATGAAGGGCAAATTTAGAGTTTAGTGGCAGTGATGCTGATAATGATTAAAAAGGATCTTCTGACCCAGAGTCCCCAGAAAATGTTGCAAAGGCTGATAAGAATAGAACAAGAAATACAATCAAGTAAGTACTTTTTTAAATGAAAAACTGATTAAGAAATGTACAGTACCAAGATTTTGATTTGGGAACATTTTGAAACCAAGATTTTCAATGGTTTACATTGAGCCCTTTGTTTTTATTTGCTCTGCCAATGCAAAAGTCAGTTTAAGTTCCTTTAAAAAATGGAGAACAAATTTGTTTACTATTTGGCGATAAAGCCCCTCTAATCATGTCCTAACCTGGTTGAAGAATCTTGAATAGAATGAAACTCAATGTAGAATTACATTCCCACCACTGGAAGCTATAATTGTTAAGTACTCCATCATTTTGATCCAGTTAGCTAATTATAGTCACGTTTTTTCTACAGCATTGATGAGGATGTCCCTATCCAAAATGAGCCCAAATTCATTGTATTCCAGTCAATGTTGGTTGCACTATTCTCTTTGTTTTGTTTTAAATGTGGTGAAAAGAAATCAGCTCTTGAAGTCATAAAGAAGGGAACAATGGTAAAAGTCATTCAAGCCTGTAAGAAATGCAAAGGGGCCTTCACATGGAGCAGCAAGCCATTAGTCCTAGGGCAGATTCCCCCTGGTTATATTTTACTAAGCTTTGCCACTCTTGCTGCAGGTGCATCTATCAGCAAAGTTCTGCTTAAATTTGCGACACATGGGTGTATGCTGCTATACTGCACAAACTTTTTTCAAGCATCAGAAAAAGATTTTGTTGATTTTCATATATCGAAGTTGTGTTTACGAAAGAATTTAGTTGTTCTTGCTGGAAACCTGCCGACCCTATTTGCCATCTTACGCTGACTGCAGCCGAGTAAAAGATCGTAAGTTGTGTTAAACTTTCTCTTTACTGCTCACTCGTTTAAACGTTGTTGATTAGAACTCACGCGTTAGATCACATTTGAAGTGTGATTTAACACTTACCCATGTAGATGTCTTGACAAGTAAACTTGACAAATTTGACTCAAGTGCAGACCTTTTCTTTTCTCACAATTGCTTGTTATTGGCCGATCAAGGAACATCAATGCTTTTAATACTCTGCAAAGCCTTCGGAATATAAAGGCAGAAAGTTTTAAAATTGGAAAACCAACAACAATGAGTATGCTTAATATGAGAGTATGGGTATACGGATATTAAAGGAAGAGATTCAAGGGATTTCCCACCCAAGAATAAAAGTATCTTCTTTGTCAAAGGAGCTATTTTTTGCAAAAAAATTTCTCTTGAAAAACGTGCGGCATCACGAAAACCGTGGCTAACCTATAAACTCTGCTGGCCAAAACGATTGTCAGAGCAAATAGATGTTGTCAACAAGACCTGTTCCCTTTCTACGCAAGCAATTAAAAATTTTCAAGTAAAAAAATGTCAAACAAAACTTGTTTTTAATCTACATGTGAAAGGTAACTTGTCAAGAAAAGTTACCAAAAATAATTGCTCGTGCAGATGCGGCTTAAAGGTCAGAGCACAAAGGTATACTGGATGAGTTTGACATTTAAATTTTCCATCTTCCCTGCCCAATTAGAAAATTATGTTAATTTTAGATTTTCTTGACCATCATCGACACCTGAGAGGGCAAAATTTCGCCCAGAACAAAATTTTTCAAAGCCTACCCTAATTGGAAGAAAAGAGTAAAGCGACAAAAGTTATGAGTGGATATGAAGCTGACACAGACAGTGAAGTGGAAAGTTTGGTACTGTTACAAGAGGAAACTTCCTCTTGCACCGAATCAACCAGATCTGGTAAGATTTGTGATTCCTTCTATTGGATTCTATCTATAATACTTTAAGGACTGATGCCTTAGAGCTAGTTTTTGTTGATTTTCAAATTAATGATACTTTCTCTCTCCTAGACCTCATTAATAGCTTAATCCTGATAAAAATTATTAATTTTTTATACATTAATATAAATATAGGTTGTATAAAATAAGCATTATTTATATTCATTGCATCAAGCTTTTTATCTCTATATCACCAAAACTTGCTTCATTGGATTTAATTTGAAATTTTTAAATCAGATTTATTTGTTAAAACAGATGCCTGCTGTGAATGCGAAAAAGAATCTGACTGGACATTGTCAGATTCTTCTGCAAGTGATGAAGATTATGACGCCGACGATGAGCAAGACGAAAAATTTGGTAAGAGAAATTACTTATTTTGGCTTTTAAATAAACGTATTTCCATCATAACAAGTATTGAAAGCATTTGGATAGAGGAAGTTTTATGGCAAATTATCCTGTAATAAACCTGCCCAGGCAGAAGAAGCTATAAAAAAATTTATGTATCTGGGTCCCCTATGCGTCAGCCCCCACTGGAGTGCAGAGGATGCAGATGTTGTTGTGACGCCTGTGCAAATTGTGCAAATTCACTTGATAAAATAAAGGAAACCATTTTGGAAGCAAATAAATTTAATCAACAAAGCAGTAACTTGTATGTTAATCAGCGATGTAATTAAACTACATCAAATCAAATTGTAGGAAATTATTTGCAAACGCTTTTTATTTGATCAACATAGAATATTAGGTTGAGCTATCTGGAGCTTCCCTCAACGGCAACCCCACTAGAACTTACGACATTTTCAATTAATTTTTTTAGGCAAATATGAGACCAGGGCCGTTGAAACAGCAGGGTAGGGGAAGCATCCAACGGCACTGGAATCTCTTCTCATGAAGGAATAGGCATTACAAAATGATCCAAAATTTAATCTATGTTTGGCAATATATTTTATTTAAGGTACACCTGCTAATGAAACGTATGATGCAGACAATGAACTGATCACTCTTCAAGTAGTTCAGGTACAATACAGCTTGGACATGATTGAACCAATTTATACTTACAGATACTTTTTGGACAATTCAAGGCTCAAGTGTGTTGTGAAATATCGATCGTATGACAACAGTAACAGTTTAGCTTGATACTTCTAGTGTATAGCCTTGCTAATTAGACACAATGAGATAAACAGTTCTCTTTCCTCGGGGAGAGGGGGCAGAAAAAGACAGGGAATATGTTTGAACAGTTAAAGAAATTATATCAAAATTGGCAATTTTTAAGAATAACGGTCAAATTTCCTACATTTCTGGAAATTTGGGAAGCTTGAAAACACAGTTTTTATCTTGTTTTTCTGCTTCCTAAACAAATTTCTTTATTTCTTGCAGATTCTTCAGCTTACGAAGAAAGAGACTTTACTGAGTCTACATGGACATGCGACTCGGAAGGAAGTCCCCTTAATGTTGGTTGGAGACAAATGCAAAAGGAAAAACTTAAACGAAAGCGAATCTTGGACAATAATGCAGCAAATAAAAAAGAAGATAGGATTTGGGCATAAGCCCCTCTAGGCATTAGTGGGTGATATTAATGTTCCAGGTGGGGGTGGGGGCAGGGGGAACCAATCCCTACAAAAACAGGCAAATTTACCAACAAATGGCATAATTTCAAAACCGGCAATTTAGCAAAACCTGGATAAGCACATGCACATCCCCGCATTTTCCACCACTGCTAGGCGTTGATAAAGGGTTGGCATGGTAAAAAGTTTTCCACATTTGACACTGGAAAAGCTTTGAATGTAGATCTAATGGATAAAACTACTGTTGAGGTGTGCCACGAGAAGTTAACATGTGTAATATTGATGAAAATATAAATTTGTGTCACGTACATCCCTATTTTACAAAAAATGCATGGGTTCTTGTTGCAAATGTAATCAAGCAAGTGAAACGAAAACCTATGCAGTGCATGTTATTGTCATGTTGAAGAAGTGTACCCTGTGACTCTTGTTTTGAAATGATATCATTTTCAGTGCACCTCCAAAAGGAAACTCCAAAAGCAATATGCAGGCTTTGCAAAACTGTCATTTGAACTTAAAGAACAAATTTTTTAATCATTAAAAAGATTTTGATTCTTTCCTGCAACTTCTTGATGCAAAAACTTAATTAAGGTTTTTTCATTTCTCCACTGAATCTGTAAATTCCATGATAACTTTTCTCACAATTATTTATCAGCTCTAAAGGTAAGCTTTGTTAGCATATATTCCTTTGGACCTTAGAATTTGCTATTGCTGAAAAATTCCTCCATCCCTTCACAACCCCAACTCCCTACATATCCACTCAACATTCATTTAAAGATTCTAAAAGACATTGCAGTTGTTTGGTACGATATTCTGCTCTGACTGGAATTTTACTGCAGTTTTCGGTTCTATCTAATTATTTTTATTGTTAAGTAACTTGGTACCTTTATATTTAAGTAGCTTAAGATGAAGAATCACATACACAATCAAAGAATTTGTTCTTAGAATTTTGCTGCCCTCAGTAAGAATTGAGTGAGATTATTGCGATTTTCTGATGTTTTTTATTAAGAATACTGCCTCTGTCACCTGTCTTAGTATCACATCATTGCCACAAGACGAAAGTATTTTTAGCTGCATATTTCAACTCTAGTATAATTTGGGTATATCACACTGTACAGGGAGTTGTTAAAGATAAATATTTTTATTAAAAGTGACAATCAACATGGTTACATGTTAGAAAAAAAGTTTTTAAATGTAAGACAAAATGCAGCTGATGTATTTCATCTTTGATTAGATTATGTAAAAACTCTGTAGTTGTTTTAAAAAGATCTTTGTTTTGCTGGTGATCTTTTGATTAAAAAGAAAATTCAAGAGCTTGCTTTCACAAATATGGTTTAGAGACCCTTTACCAGCAGCCTCTGTGCCTGATTATTGTTGTTTTCATTGCCGCACTCTAATTTCAGCACACGACTTTGTAGGAAATTTGTATGAAGCGTAGTTAGTCTACTAGAGGGGTACACAAGGAGCGTAGCTAATCTACTAGAGGGGACAACCTTTCAAAGATGAAAAGGTTTTTACAATGAGATGATCTTCCAACAGTATTCTTCAACCTGAATTAAAACAATTCTCATTCTAAATAGGAAAGAAGAAAGGTAAGATTTCATTTTTTTATCTACTTAATTTTTGGATATATTTCTTTAATTAACGTATATATAAAACAAAAGATATAAGACATAAAATGACAAGGCCGACTGAAATATATATATCTGATCTAGAGGCCCCTTTCAAATGTAGTAAACACAACTCGCCACCTTTTGTACATTCACACAAAACAAATTGGTTTGTTCAAAATCTGCACGTGATTAAATTTTTTCATAACAAACTATTGATGTTTAGTGTGGTGCCCTTTTTTACAATGTTGGCATTGCAATTGAAAAACAATATTTTGTATCTTTTACAAAAGTTGAGCCTCTCCAATTTGAAGCTTTACAAATTCTTTAGATTTCATCAGGGGCGAAGCCAAAAAATTTTTTGGAGGGGTAAAGGAGTAGTTTTTACCCACAAAAAAGGGTGTGTCTCACTCATAAAGAGTGTGGTCAAAAGATTCACCTGGAAGTCCCAACCAACGATCAAGGGTGTTCTTCCAGCAGGCAATTTGTTGCTAAGTTTTGGAAACGTTATGGCAGGTGCCTTAATCAGCAAGATACTTCTGGCTTTTGGCAGCTGTCTAAAGATGGCAGAAATTTTGCCAAACTTAAAAATTGATAATTGCATGAACTTAATTGATATTGGAAAATTGAATCATAGGCTTAAAGATGATGAAAATTACTGATAAATTAAAAGTTTTTACCCAAAAATTGAGGTTTGCGGCAATTTGCAAATGAAGTTTTGGGTTGATGAATGACATCACTACTGTGTCATAGTAGCATGAAATCATATCAAAATCCAATAAAACAACCAATGACCTATGATTAGAAAGTCATAAGAATGCAGATTCTCCGTAGAGCTTTTCCATTATACTGTTGCAGCTTCTTTATGACTTCATTTATTAATGTGTGGTTCCTTTTACTTCCTTTACAAATAATTTATTGTTGCCTTTTCTTTATTGCCTTTTGCAAGCTTTTATCAGATTTTTTCCAAGGTGTAGCACCATGCTGTTAGCAAGCTTCTCCCCGTTCGTTTTTGGATATGGCCAATGCAGTCTAGCTTCAGGACTCTGTTCCAATCAAAATTTTCATCACTGTATATCCATAATGTCAATGATGACCTGTAGACTTCCATCTTTCTTGCTGTAGCTCATGAATCTCTGGCAAGCTTTACATTAACCATAGGTATTCTAAATAGAATTATATGAGGCAGAGTCACAATCACAAACCATGCATTTGTATTTGATGTTAGATGCCATTGACGTCCTCCAGATGTTTTGAGCAGCTACCGCTTCCAAAGACCTGGTACCTTGGTGGTTCCTTTGGCAATCAAATATGTGCCTCTCTTTCAATTCATCTTCCATAACAATTTTTGTTACACTCTGGACAAACCTTGCTGAGGAACTTGAAATATAAATCTTGCCCACTGTCAACACTTATTACAATACCAAGTCCAAAGTTGGCAGTGAAGCCTCGTTTGCTCCAAGTGCCATCATAGCTGACAGCAACTTCAACAGGGGTTTCCTGGCAATATTCTATGCCATTCTCTTCCAATATCATAAGTATTATTTTTCCTCTTGCATCAGATAAAACAGATCTTGCATGACTTTGGGCATATTGCATGAAATTCTATATCCTCTCAAATCGGTTGAAGACATTGGGCTTACAATATCGTCATCTGAATCTTCAACAGATACATGCAATAACTTTTTTGAAATGCAAATTGTATTCTCTGATCTGTGCTCATTTCATAACAGTTAGCAGAGGTATCAAACTGTTTTCTTTTCTTCTGTAAGCTTATTGGTTGGATGTGGTTCCAACAAGTTCGAAAGATGGTTCTCCAAACAAAGAATTTGCTAATTTGACAAATCCATGTCTACTTGGACATCCTCTTCCTTGTGCATTGCTTGCAAATCTTTGTAATTCCTTTTTATTAATAACCTTCTTCAGATATAAATTGAACAGTATCTGCATCATTCATTGGGATAAACTCTTCTTGTTCATTTACTGGAAACTGTGTTTGATAATAGTTCATCCGGACACTGGCCTAAATCAGTTGCTGGCCCAGCTGTTTCTGTTTTCGTCTCCCGGCTCTCAATATCTCTTTTGATGGTCCATTACAGTTTACCTTTGAAAAAGGATTTCTTCCTTGGCATCCTTTCTGTTAAATGTTTCAATTTGACAATGTTTTCAAATATTATCCAATTATTAAAGTTTAACACAGATTTCAAAACTTTTTTCAAAACGATATTTAGTTCATGAAATATTCTGTTTTAAATTCGGAATTTCACATACTTTAATGGCAGAATTTGGAAGCAGTCAGAAATTTGGGGTCAGAAGTCTGTGACATCAGATGTTGGACAGAATATGCTTGCTTTGTTGTATTTGATTGCCACCATGTTAAGTGCAAAATGAAATCCGCTTAAATGATTTCCTGTTGTTTACTTCTGTGACAAATTATCAGCTTTTTTTAATAACGCCGTAAATAATGCCGTCACGTCCCTCAACCTCTCTATTAATCTTTGTATGTATGATTATATGCGTTAATTATTGAGATTTCCGACTTTTTAATAATTGAACATAACTTTTTGAGTTCACAAAAGTGTAAAATTCTTTTGGTGTAAGATGCTTTTGGGCAGTTTTTAGTTCAGAACATCAGCTCAAAACAATGAGATTTTAAACAAGATTGTGAATTCAGATCAACAAGTGTGCTAGAATCTGCAAGGCCAACAAACAAAAAGGCCAACAAACAAAAAAGTTAAACGTGGGGGGCAATATTGCTTTGCTTGATTTGGGGGAGCTGTACAAACAGTAGTTTGATGCCAGGTATTAGTATGCACCATTTTTCAAGTAAAAACCTTGATTTGCAAAGGCAACAGATTCGTTTCCCCAGAAAACATCGTGCCAATTTCAATCACCAAGCCTACTCGATCAGCCTTTACCTGTGCTCAGATCATTTTGAGCGCTCATGCTATGAAAAAGCATTTGCTTTAGAGCTTCCTGGTTTTGACAGTTCCAAAATGAAGAGAACTTTAAAAAGGGATGCGATTCCAACTGTATTCAACACACAAGTATAAAGCCAGGCATTTAGTAAATCGTTTTCAAAGGTGGCAAGAAACAGAAGAACTGCGAGTATTAAATATACCTTTGAGCTCTATCTATGTACAGTCTATATGAAAATGACTTACATCATTCTCAGATTGAAGGTTTTCTTCATTTTTTTAATAAAGTTTATTAACAAACTACATATTAGTTTCTTAAAATTTACCATTTCCTCTATTTTAGTTGTTAATTGGAATCAAACAGCACGGACATGCTGACAAAAATAAATGTGCTTCAGAATAGTTCGATGAAGAGATAAAGAGGTTGAGGTAGGCAAAAAGGCATTTACAATTGGAGACACTTTCACCATCAGGGAACATCACAATGATTCTGAAGGATATGTAGAGGTTGTTCCATTGCAGTGCCAAGTTCATCTCACAGGTGACCCAGTACACACATGACCCACATGCATAACTCCTCAACGAGAAGAGGTTCAAGGAAATATTAGAATACATACGGCAAAAAAGGTGCCATGATGTTCAAGAAATGCACTGAACCATGAAACTTTAAGTTCTGGTGGTATAGGGCTCTCGAGCTTTCTTTTAGCTCTATGTTGAGATTGTATCAGTTAGAGATCTCAGTTTAATGAAATCCGACCAAAGTGATACTGTAGATTCCAAAACTTCAAGTTACAAAATGATTTGATTAACCGTTACTATGGTAACAAGCGATCTTTTGTTTCTGAAAATCCAAAAGTTAAGTGTGCATTGATTCTCTAACAGCATCATCAAAAAGTATTGTTCTTTATATCAAATTGTTTGTTAAGAGCTGGAGAGTGCAACTAAGCCTTATTTTTCACATTTTTACACTTATTGTAAAAGTTGATGTAAAAATACAAAAACGAGATAAGCCAGCCTTGAAATGTTTTTTAGATTGTTGCCTGAGGAATGAATCCCTGTATTTCTACCTCAAATCAGGCATCTTTATTGCACTCTTCATGATTTGCGGGCTCAAAATCATACTTGAATAATTTGCAGTGCAAGTTTTGAAAGCAATTTGCTGAGCCATCAAAGTTCTTTCCAC